GGGGGGGGAGTTTCTGCTTCACCGGAGTTAGGGTTTGGATCGGGTCGGTGAAAATGAGCTTCTGGATCGGGAGGAGACCGTGCTCGAACGGCTCCCGCCTCGGATGGATTACCAAACTCGGATTCGGATTCGGATTCGGAATCGAACTCGGGTCTGGGTCGGGCACCGAGGGCGGTGGCGATTGGTCGATATGTTCTTCTGCCATGATTCCTTCAAGAGAGAGGGACCGGTGGTGAAGTTGCAGATCTTTGATGACGAATAATTTTCTCGAGAGGAAGGGGTAACATTTCACTGCATGCACGCGTACGCCATTACTGTATGCTGCTTTTCTTTGATCGTTGGATTAACTAATCCAATCACGATCGTGACACGTCACACAAAAGATTAAATGCACTTTTGCGTCATCCATAGATCCTATAGCTAGGCGATCCTTGTATAGCCTACCTATATATTGGTAAGTCCAAACAATGCACTAATTGATCAAACCAAAGATAAAACAGATAAATAAACCATTGATAATTTAAGACACGGCTTAAAAGGTTGACTAAAAAATAATATATATATATATATATATATATATAAAACAGGGCATTATCAAAAATATCTCCATGTACTATTTGAACTTCAACTGATACCCTTATTCAATTGTGATCATGTGATCATAATTACAGTCTGATCACATAATGATCACATTATTCATAACGTTAAATTTATGCTGATCACACTATTTCATCATGTTTACCCTTTACATATCAAACTAATCATTTGACAAAACTATTATAATTTTAACGTTATAACCAATATGACCATCATGTGACTAAAACTATATTTTTAGTCACATGATCACAACGGGATAAAGGTATAGGTTGAAGTTAAAATAGTATATGTATGGTATTTTTGATATAATACCGTATATATATATGTACTTAATTTGGAAATTGATGAATATACTAACATATATGTAAATTTGCAACTACCCTTTATATTTCACTTGCAAAGAAAGCAAGTAGTACTGCACGAGTTGCGCGGACCGACAATATCAATTCTTTTTTTTTTTTTTTTTGCAAAATCTATCCAAATGGATTAGGTGTCAATTTTAGTCTAAGGCTCGAAGTCCGACCGGATCCAATCGGAAAAATAACGGGTTGGAGTCTAAATATCTCGGTCTAATTTTTTTTGGATTTTTATGGTAAACTCAAATGAGTTTCGAACGAGATCCAAAAGTCTATTTTTTTTAAAAAATAATGACAAAATAAAAAAATAAATTTTAAAGAATAAATTTAGTGGATCAGTCTGACCTGAATCTAAACCCAAAATTTATATTATTTAGATTCGAAAAAAATCGAATTGGTCCAAACTCGAGTCTGAAATCTTCTGACCAAGTGAAGATTCTGACCGGTGCGATAGACAACCGATAAAATTTGTAATCAATGGATATCTTCTTATATAGAGGGAAATTAGGGTAAGTTTAAGTAGAAATTGTACATATCGATACAAAAGGTGGAAGAATCATAAACAAAAATTAATGAAAATTGGCATTGAAAATGGTTGTTTTGATTGGGATACATAATAAGGTTAATCATCTGTCTTACTATTATAATTATTATTATTAAATAGATTGAATGATGTTTATAATCACTTTTTTTCTTTCTTCCTCCCAACACTCCGAATATTAATTACAGTATTTGGAGTGATTAAGGGTACCAACTAGTGAGGCTTTTGTGGTATATACCTAATTTAATCATATGATTTGACCTAACAACCTCCTCTTCATCTTTAAGGAAAATGAGGAAACTCACATATATATCAGACCATTATTGCCGACTTTATATACCTCATTGAACCAAAACAATATACAAATTATATTTAAAATAAATATTTAAAAACAATTACGTATTAAATTAAATCGAATTTAAATAATTATAAATAAGAATGGATTCTATTCTAACATATCTAGATACATTTAAAAAAATAAAATAAAACTAATTAAAAAAAAACCCACGCATAGTCAATAATAGTGCGACACTTGAACACGACAACTCAGTAGTTAATAATAATATATGTGTATGCCATGTAGTAGTTAATTAAGGATTAGCTTAACTAATTACTCTATTTAATATTAGGTTTTCAAAGGCATAAGACGTGGGATTTTTTTTTTTTTTTTTTTTTTTTTGTAAAAAGTGGGATGTTATTTTATTCAATTAGCCTGTAATTTTTTTCCATATCCTATGTTAATCTTCCTTTTGAAGTGCCATTGTAGTTAAATATGATACAATGGATACTTGCATAATATGTGTATGTGTGTGTGTGTATATATATATATAACTGTTTTGTTTTAAATTTTTGGTTTCGATCGTTTAATGCATTAATTCATATAATATTCCTTTATAAAAAATTCATATAATATTCGAATTATAATGTTTTTTAATCGTAGTTTCTGTTTTTTCGCAATTTTTTAAAACTTGGAAACTAAGGAAATTTAGGCGTGGTTGTGAATTGGTGAGGGATATATTTGGCATAATTATTTAATTACGGTTGAATTTTATAAAAAGCAAAGCATTTAATTAAGTCCAAAAAAGACCGCCGTGGAAAAACCCACGCTGAAACCGTCGACTCCACACGTGTGAAATTCAAAGTCACGCGCGGTGAGTGGGTCCCACGTAAACAATGTGTGTTGGTTGGGGAAGAAAAATAAATATAAATAAAAAATAAAATGAAATAAGCGAAAGAAAAGATAAAATCATAAAAGAGAAAGGGAGAGGAAATCGTAGCGCCACAGTGCTGTGGCTGTGTATCGTATTTTCTTCTTTTTCGCATATTCATCATCAGATCCCAACCGAGAAGAGGCAAAAAAAAAAAAAAGGAGAGGAAGCAGAAGCAAAAGCAAAAGGAAGAAGACAACAAGTGCCACCTCTGCCTGTCTCTCTTTCTCTCTCTCCTTCCCTCCTCTTCACTGGGTTTTCCTTTCTCTCTCTCTCTAGAAGTTTTCTGTCCTTATCTTCTGCTTTTTAGGGTCCTTCATTTTCTTTTTTTTTTCTCGGGAAAAAGAGGAGAGAAAAGCAAAGTAGACGAGAGGGAAACAAAGAGAAATCGCAATCTCCTTGTAATGGGGAAGAAGGTTTCCTGAGTGGTGTGAATAGTTTCTGGGTTCTTTTCTTTCTCATCCCACCTGGGTTTTGTTTCGAAGATCTAAGGTATGTCGTGTTAGATTTTCTGGGGTTTTTTCCCCTCTCTCTACCCACTTCTCTGCATTTTTTTTATTGTGCTGCTTTTCTTCTTCTTTTTCTTCACCCTGAGCGGTGTTTTAGTGGGATGTTTGCCGTTTTTCTTGCTTGTAAATGCGCTAAAATCGTTGTTTTCTCCGATTCACACGCTATCTCCTTCCTCCGCGTTTGTTTTCTCACCCGGGCTCTGTTTGGTTCCCCAGAAAATCGAAGAATCGAAAAGAAGAGATGAGATTTTATTTTGTTTTGTTTTCTCGTTCATGCCATTGTTCTGGGTCGGTTTCCGAGAAAGTTTTTTCTTTGCATCGAAGCGAATGGGTGGAATTTTTAGGGTCGCCGATTTTGTGCCGTTGGATTTTCGCCTCGGGGGAAACTACCGATGTTGTGTTTCATCGAGAAAATGCGAGAATCTCCGAGTTCAAGCACTTCATTTCTCTGCATTTTCTTACTCTCGCATGGTTCCTTTTTTTCAGATCTAGGGTTTTGAAGCAAGAGGAGCTGTAGCTGAAATCCCCCTGTCGACAGTCCCGTGAGTTCTGTCTCTACCCTGCAAAATCTTTGTGCCTTTTCTTTGGAGATTCTGTTTATGTTTCATCTTTAATGATCTGTGAGTGTTGGATGTGTAGGATATCTGTCTTGTCTCTGTAAGCGTACGATAAGAGATGATGCATCGTCCCCCGCCGGAAGATTTCTCCCTGAAGGAGACCAAACCCCAACTCGGGGGAGGGAAGGTCACCGGAGACAAGCTGACAAGTACATATGACCTGGTCGAGCAAATGCAGTATCTGTATGTCCGTGTCGTCAAGGCCAAGGAGTTGCCCGGGAAGGATGTGACCGGTGGCTGTGACCCTTACGTCGAAGTTAAACTCGGAAACTACAAGGGCACCACTCGGCATTTCGAGAAGAAATCAAACCCTGAGTGGAACCAAGTTTTTGCCTTCTCAAAGGACAGGGTCCAGGCCTCTTTCCTCGAGGTTGTTGTGAAAGATAAGGACTTTGTGAAAGATGATTTCATGGGTCGTGTTGTGTTTGACTTGAACGAGATCCCGAAGAGAGTTCCGCCCGACAGTCCATTGGCACCACAATGGTATAGGCTAGACGACAGGAAAAGCGATAAAGTTAAGGGAGAGCTTATGTTGGCCGTCTGGTTCGGCACTCAGGCTGATGAGGCATTCCCGGAAGCTTGGCACTCAGATGCTGCTACCGTGAGTGGGACCGATGCCCTTGCCAACATCCGGTCCAAGGTTTATTTGTCTCCTAAGCTTTGGTACCTTAGGGTTAATGTCATCGAAGCTCAAGATTTGATACCGAGCGATAAGGGTAGGTACCCTGAAGCTTATGTGAAAGTGATACTCGGAACCCAGGCATTGAGGACCAGAATATCTCAGAGCAGGACCATTAACCCGATGTGGAACGAGGATCTGATGTTCGTGGCAGCTGAGCCGTTTGAGGAACCGTTAATACTCAGTGTCGATGATAGAGTTGCTCCGAACAAGGACGAAGTTCTGGGGAAATGTGCAATCCCGTTGCAGTACGTGGATAGGAGGTTCGATCACAAACCCGTTAACAGCAGGTGGTATAACCTGGAGAAACACGTTATGGTGGAAGGAGAGAAGAAAGAGATCAAATTCGCGAGCAGGATTCACATGAGGATCTGTTTGGAAGGCGGATATCACGTTCTCGATGAATCCACGCACTACAGCAGTGACCTTAGGCCTACCGCTAAACAGCTGTGGAAGCCCAGCATCGGCGTCCTGGAATTAGGTATCTTAAACGCCACGGGTTTGATGCCTATGAAGAACAAAGACGGTCGGGGAACTACAGATGCATATTGTGTGGCAAAGTACGGGCAGAAATGGGTTCGTACCCGCACAATCATCGACAGCTTCACTCCGAGATGGAACGAACAGTACACCTGGGAGGTGTTCGATACCTGTACTGTTATTACAATTGGTGTGTTTGATAACTGTCACTTGCATGGCCCAGACAAGGGGGGAGGAGCTAAAGATTCGAGGATCGGGAAGGTTAGGATCCGGCTCTCGACTCTCGAGACTGATCGGGTCTACACACACTCGTACCCTCTTCTGGTACTGCATCCAAACGGGGTCAAGAAAATGGGCGAGATTCACTTGGCCGTGAGATTCACCTGCTCTTCCCTGATCAACATGATGCACATGTATTCACATCCCCTCCTGCCGAAAATGCATTACATCCATCCTTTGACGGTTAGCCAGCTCGATAACTTGAGGCATCAAGCCACCCAGATCGTCTCGATGAGGCTGCACCGGGCTGAGCCGCCGCTGAGGAAAGAGGTTGTGGAGTATATGCTGGACGTGGGTTCGCACATGTGGAGCATGAGGAGAAGCAAGGCTAACTTCTTCAGGATCATGGGAGTTCTAAGCGGGCTAATAGCTGTCGGGAAATGGTTTGATCAGATTTGCAACTGGAAGAACCCTATCACGACGGTCTTAATCCACATCCTGTTCATCATACTCGTGCTCTACCCCGAGCTCATCCTGCCCACCATTTTCCTCTACCTCTTCTTGATCGGTGTCTGGTACTACCGGTGGAGGCCGAGGCATCCTCCTTACATGGACACTCGTCTCTCTCACGCCGACTCTGCCCACCCGGACGAGCTCGATGAAGAATTCGACACCTTCCCTACTTCCCGGCCCTCGGATATCGTCAGGATGAGGTATGACAGGCTTCGTAGCATAGCCGGGAGGATTCAGACAGTGGTGGGCGATCTTGCCACGCAAGGGGAAAGGTTTCAGTCTCTACTGAGCTGGCGCGACCCACGAGCCACTGCCCTTTTCGTCATATTCTGCCTGGTCGCCGCCATCGTCCTGTACGTCACGCCGTTCCAGGTCGTGGCCCTCCTGACCGGCTTCTACGTGCTGAGACACCCCAGGTTCCGACACAAACTCCCTTCTGTTCCTCTCAACTTCTTCAGGAGACTGCCGGCAAGAACCGATTGCATGCTCTGATCGCAAAAAAAAAAACAGAAGCCAGAGGTAAGGGCTCTTTTCGGATCTAAAGCCCTGAATCCAATTCGTTTCCTTTTTCAAGTTAAATATCCTGCTTGAGATGATGTGTTTTATTACATTAGAACTTCAAAAAAAAAAACATTCTCATGAAAGAAGCAAGAGATTCTCTGCGTGAATTTTCGTTTTTGTAATTCGTATGTTTGAATTCTAATTTATTTTTGTCGAATTTTTCTGGTTCCACGTGTTTTGCATGCGCATTATTACCAGTTGGGAGAGTTTTGTGTTTCAGAAATTTAAAAAAAAAAAACTGAAATGAACTTCATTCGGTCATTATTCCATATCATATCAAATTATTCGGTCTTGGGTTTATAAAAAATAAATCGAAATATTCGGTCTTATCCAAATCATATCAACCTCGGTATTGTTTTTATTAAAACTAAATCGAATTCGAGAACGTGGTATTATGCATCGTCTCTGTTGCCGTGCCCCTCGTACATGTTAATAGCTATATTATACACACACCTTTTTAATACACATACGCATGTATCCGTACAGACATGACATGTACGTGAAATGTTTGCCCTGCGATTCGTCCGTACAATATTGAAATCCGATATGGTTGATGATATACGATACATTTTTGTTCTTCGATACGTTCGATGTGAAAATTATAATGTTTTTCTATCAAATACCAATTGGATATTAAACATAGTTCCATAGTTATCCGATTCATAGGAATCGATGCCACTTGAGTGGTTTACGTGGTAAATGTATAGAATTCGGCCGTCGGTCAAAAAAGTGAATGGGAATTCTCGGTTATAGTTATAGATCAAACAAAACACGCATAATTTATTATATATATATAAATAACATAATTGCAATATGAAATATATATATATATATTAGACCTATACTGATCATTCTCGTTATTTCCATTACATTAAAAACGACATTTTCTACTTATAGCTCTTTCGATTTGATTATTTTTATTTGAAAATTTATGTTTAGTTAATTTTATTTTATTGATGTATAGATGTTTTATTATCAACAAACTTATATAAAAATAATTGTCTTGGATCTAAAATGGTAAAAGAACAAAAAAAAAAAAAAAAAGAGAGTTGGTGGCAGAGACAGAATCTCCTGTACCGACTTTGCGTAGATTTCACGCTTCCTTTATCAATTTTGACTTTATCCGTTTGACCATTTTTATTTATTATTAATTAATTATAAAAGACTCACGAAATCCGGACCGTTGGATTTTCACTCTGCTTCCGCCGAACAAAAGCTTTCTCGGCTTTGGCTAGGGGTAAATCCGGAAATTCACGTATTTCCCCGTCACCGCTCCGAATTAAAAGACGGCATTTCCAGGCACTCGCTCGGTGTGTGAGAGAGACGAGAGAGAGAGAGATGGCAAGTGGAATCGCTCGTGGGCGTCTCGCGGAGGAGAGGAAGGCGTGGAGGAAGAATCACCCTCACGTCCGTACTTTCTCCGTCTCTCCCTCTGTAAACGTTACCCGTTTTTTTTTTGTAGGGTTTGCTCTGGTTTGGTTGATCGATGTTTCTGATCTTAAAAAAAAAAAAAAAAAAAAAAAAAGAGAGTTGGTGGCAGAGACAGAATCTCCTGTACCGACTTTGCGTAGATTTCACGCTTCCTTTATCAATTTTGACTTTATCCGTTTGACCATTTTTATTTATTATTAATTAATTATAAAAGACTCACGAAATCCGGACCGTTGGATTTTCACTCTGCTTCCGCCGAACAAAAGCTTTCTCGGCTTTGGCTAGGGGTAAATCCGGAAATTCACGTATTTCCCCGTCACCGCTCCGAATTAAAAGACGGCATTTCCAGGCACTCGCTCGGTGTGTGAGAGAGACGAGAGAGAGAGAGATGGCAAGTGGAATCGCTCGTGGGCGTCTCGCGGAGGAGAGGAAGGCGTGGAGGAAGAATCACCCTCACGTCCGTACTTTCTCCGTCTCTCCCTCTGTAAACGTTACCCGTTTTTTTTTTGTAGGGTTTGCTCTGGTTTGGTTGATCGATGTTTCTGATCTTTGAACCCTCTAATTTCTTCTCCCCCATGCTCTGTGATTCTTCTGGGTTTCCGCTTTTTCCTGACTTTGTTCGTGGGTTGTGAACGTTTCGATGGTGAATTAGGGTTTTGTGGCAAAGCCCGAGACTCTGCCTGATGGGACTTGCAATCTGATGGTGTGGCAGTGCATTATACCTGGAAAATCTGGGGTATGTGTAAATTATAGATTCTGTCCCAATAATTGAAGAGGGTTTGTTTTCATATTCGCCTTGCCTTGTAATAATATGCTTTTGTATGGGAATGGTTCTTTCAGGAGAGATTATTGTTTTGTGAATGTTCATGAGTTTCTCTGATGGATATCGCTTTTCAAGTGCCGAAACTTCCAGAGATTTCGTGCTCATTAACGTATACTTCTTGGTTTCCTTACATCATGTAGCTGTAGGAATGTCGTACGAGGTACTAGTGAGTGTAGTTACTTATTGTTTCTGCTGTTTTTGTCCAAATCTCACATGTTATGTTTGCAAAGGTTACATTAGGGTTGCCTTTCGGGTATCTCCTTGATGATTTGTGTGGCTTTTGGTCGTGCATCGTTGCTCATACTGTAGTAGTAGAAAGGGGAAGCTATCCCCTTCTCCGAAAGTTTTCATCAGATGGGATTCGACATTGCAGACTGATTGGGAGGGTGGCTACTTCCCGTTGGCGATGCACTTCAGCGAGGACTACCCGAGCAAGCCGCCCAAATGCAAATTCCCGCAGGGTTTCTTCCACCCTAATGTCTATCCATCTGGAACTGTCTGTCTATCAATCCTTAACGAGGATTCCGTAAGAAGAGCCTTCTGTTCTTGTTTGTATGTTACCCCAACAATACGTGTTACATGCAAAATCATTCTCGGTGTGTTTTATATCGATGACAGGGGTGGAGACCGGCCATCTCGGTAAAGCAGATACTTGTGGGTATTCAGGATTTACTGGACCAGCCGAATCCCGCTGACCCTGCACAGACTGATGGTTATCATCTCTTTATACAGGTTCACATTCCCGCGAATGTTCTTTTCGTTGCATAGACACATGCATAACTTCAAACCCTAACCCCTAAACCTGTCGTTACACAGGATCCCGCCGAGTACAAGAGAAAGGTTCGGCAGCAGGCCAAGCAGTACCCACCCATTGTCTGATCCATCATCCCCTACATAGCTGTCGAACACCCAACCGAAGAGCCTCGAGTCATTTGTCCGAAACCAGACCGAATCCGCTTGTGGTGAAGAGAAAGGAGAATGCTCTTCTTCATTCGTCTTGGCATCCAAGACTACATTTGTAATCTCTTGTTCTCTTTTAGAATCCTCTCTCGCTCTAAACTGTTAATATACTCGTATTTACATATCTGGGTACTGTGATCAGTTGGTGTTCATCTGTGCCTGCAGTGAGTGAGCTTTGTCCTTTCATGTGTTTGGTTATTTATTCGACAACTCAGAACTGAAGTTTGGTTTTCTATCTGTATATGTGATTTATGGGTATCCAAGTTTGTGTCCTGTCCCGTGAGGTTATAACTCCAAATGATTTATTTATTTTTTAAAATAACAAAAATTTGAGTCTGTAAACTCAAAATGAAAATCAGTAATTTAACAAAGTAAGGATTTTAATTTGAATTGAAATTCTTATTCTCTTAAAAGAAAAATACCTAAATTTTATAGATCTTACTTATCTACCGTACAAATCCTATATGTTTTTGTAAAAATGCCCAAAAAAACTACAATATTCATTTATCTATTTCAATTATAACAGTAAAGTGATATTATAAATAAATATATTTAAAATCTATGAATTAGTACAAGTTACAGTTTTTGGTGTTTTGAGATTTATTTGAACTTGGTATAAATAAGATTTTTTGGATAGGTTATGAAACTAAAAAAAAATATTGTCCCTGATTTTCATTCCGTACAAAAGCGATTGTGAATTGAAGGGTGCCATCGCCGATCAGACGAGTCTCATGGACGACATGTCAGCGTACTACTCGCACTATAACATCCCTCCTCCGGCGCCAGCGCCTCCGGGAGTGGCTCCGCCGCTTGTAGTGGCTCCGGTTCCATTTGTTCCGATTCATCCTACCTACTCACATCCTCACGCCTCTGGCGACGAGGTTCGTACTCTCTTCGTCGCCGGCCTGCCCGAAGACGTCAAGCCCCGGGAGATCTACAATCTCTTCCGCGATTTCCCTGGCTACGAGTCCTCCCATCTCCGCAGCTCCGATAAGGATTCCAAGGTTCTCTTATCGCTTCCGATTTCTGTAAATTCGTGCTTTCCCGATTAGTCTTTGCAGGAGAGGGTTTTTGAATTTAGATGTTTTTTTGCGTTGTTTGTCATTAAGCTGTTCTTGTTTTGATAGCCCTTCGCGTTTGCGGTTTTCTCCGATCTCCAATCCGCTGTTGCGGCGATGCACGCCCTAAATGTGAGTACAGTACCTTCATAATTGTTCCTGCAATCTGCTGCTGTTGGTAGATTTCCGCTTGATTTAGTGTCGTTTGAAGCTAGAAGCAGCCAAGCAGCAGAATTTTGAGCTATCGTTTTCTTTTTTCCTTGACAGGGAATGGTTTTTGACCTTGAAAAGCATTCAATACTTCACATTGATCTTGCCAAATCAAATCCCAGATCTAAACGCACAAGAACAGGCAAGTTTATGTGCTCTCTCTCTCTCTCTCTCTCTCTCTCTCTCTCTCTGTTTTGGAGCTTATTGAAAGTTGGGTTTCAGCTTCTGTGATAAATTTGTATTTCTCGCTGTTTATGCCGAGTAGATGATGGCTGGGAAAACTTGAAGAAGACCAAGTCTTTGAGTGCGGCTACAGATTTTGGTAAGACCATTGATTCAAGCTTTCACCTTGGGGCCATCTATGAGCGCATATATGTATATTTGATGTTTATTGTTACTGAATATGTGTATTGTACTTCTCGATATCTCACAATCCTCGCAGTGTTTCTTCACTTTAGTTGTTCGGTTTGTGATAGTAATTCACTTGGAAATATTAGTTTGTAAGATGGGGACACATTTTCCGGAAAGCTCACACTGCACATGTTTTACACGACTGGGCATAAGCAGGTTTGGGCAGCACTAGCATTCACAGTCCTGGAATGAGTAGTTCCGCTTACGACACAATTGGTTATCCACCTGCACCAAGGTCATCTGCACTACTTTAGCACACTTTTGGTTACTTAGAAACACTTAGATACGATTCTTGTAGCACAAATCTTTCCCCAAATCCTCTTGCTCCAAAGTTAAGGGTTGTCTTAACTAGTGATGGCCCTTACCCTCTCCTCTAGACATGAGAATAGTTGTTTTTGTTCAAGCTCTTATCTGAAAGTGTGTGACTTCTTCTATTCGTCTTTGTCAATTCAGTCATGGGATTGTGGATACCCCTGGCGGTGCAATGGCAACTGGAAAATCTGTAAGCTTCTGTGTGCTTAGTTTGGGGTTTAGCATGAATCTTGTTCTATTTCACTGACCCCCTTGTTAGATGAAACTTAAGTAGGAGTTGTGTTTTAGAATTGAGTCAGCTAGCTACTTAATTTTGACCTCTGCGAGTAAATTTTCCAGTGAACATGACTTCATTTCTTCTGTTGACAGAATAATTCGGCAGCTCCTTGTCCAACACTTTTTGTAGCTAATCTAGGACCAAGTTGCACGGAATCTGAGCTAGTTCAAGTGTTTTCAAGGTAAGAGTAATTTCTTCGAGCATGTGAATCTACAGAATAGAAATCTTGCTGGGACAGGCATTAGTTTTATCTATCTCTTCTGTCAGATGTCGTGGATTTTTGAAGCTGAAGATGCAGGACACGTATGGGACTCCTGTTGCATTCGTCGATTTCCAGGTTCAATTTCTTCCGATAATTCCACCCTGAAGCATGATGGGGAGAGAGAGAGGGAGAGATCCTGTCATGTCTGAAGAGTGAAGAATTCTGATGACGCTTAATGTCAGCAACATAAAGCTTATCAGATTAGGTGTTTTTGCAGGATGTCAGTTATTCAGCGGAGGCACTACATAATCTTCAAGGCACAGTTCTCTACTCATCTCCCACTGGAGAGGGCTTGCGCTTGCAGTATCCTCATTGAGATATCAACGCTATTCAATCATTTCTTTGTTTCCTTTTTCTTGTAAGATTTTTCCTATCTTCCCCGATGATATTCTTAACAAGCAATCACAGATATGCAAGATCGCGGATGGGAATGCGTAAGAAGGTCAAGTAATCCCGAAATGATAGAGCCCTTATTATAGTTGCAGATCATGTAAGTATATGTCATGCAGCATCACATGATTGAAATGAAGATATAATAGAGCTTAATTGTTTTTTTATATGCATTGTTCCATTGGTGAGATATGAGATCTAATTTATTTACAGGACCATGTGGGCTGGAAAAATTCTATGTAGAACAAACATGTTTATTTGTTCAAATATAATTATTCTTTTTTTTAAAAAAATTCATACGATCTTTTATTCCGAGGACTTGTTGAAGGCATAGCCCTGTTTTCAAGCTCGAAAGCCATTGAATTTCTTCTCCAAGACCATTTCTTTTTATGCTTATTACTCTGCTTTCTTTAGAGTCCTATGTACAATGCAGGAGCTGGTTACTTGGTTTTTTTTTTCCTACGTCGTCTTCTCTTCCGTGTTAAAACACTTGCAGTTCACGCGGTTTTCGCTCAAAATCTGCGTAAACAACATATCGACGAGTGTTTAACTCTTTTTCTGTTTTCAGAATGTTTTGTGTGTGTATATATATTATATTACCTTGAATTGTCTTTGAAGATCTTTGATGTATTCTACAGCCAAATCCAACATGTCTGCCGTGTTCGTTTGCTGCAACCATTACAAACCAAGGAGCATTAATCGGACTATATATCGAGAAAATGATGCTTTCCGATCAGAACACACGAGAAACAGTTGAAGGATCGATCCGACGGTACACATACCTTATCCATATTAGGAACAAGGTCCTGTAATTTCCTCATACGTTCACTTATCCGCGTTCTTCTCACCTGACAGATTAGGAACACGATATGATCTGATTTTACGACCCGATGTTATGTTCGGTACCCAAAATTACGGTCTCGAACCATTGTGTTTTGAGGCTGGAGACTCTTGTAACTTACCCTTTCAGCGATGCTTCGAGGATGTGTGGCGCAACCTCGTTTGGCTCTTATGTTCCACGGAACAGAGTCTTGTAACTGATGATACTTGTCCCCCAAGACCATGTCCGAACCCGAAGCCTTTGGCAGGCTGAGGTGGCGCGATGGCAACAATTGAATCCGATTGTCCATCTCGCCGTTCTGAACAAAAGTCCATCACTTATGTTTCAGATCACACCAGTCTAAGAAACAATCAGTTTCTGGTTCGGTTCTTTTATGGATGCAGATCAGACCGGAACCCATTAAAAGCTTAACCCGAACCCCCCAAACCGATGATAGATTTTGCTATCGGTTGGTTCGGTATGTTTCTGAGATTTTCACCGTTCAATACTTAACCCGATGACACTATTATAGGTAGGAAAACAAGTACCTGACCTCCCGAGAACCACTTCCCCTCGTCATCGGATTCTCTTTTCATGGAGGAGAAGTTCTGCATCGAGCTTGACGGATCGTTCCAGTGACCGTATTGTTGGAAATCCGAGACGATGGTCTCAGTCTCGGTTTCAGATATCCGAGAGAGCATCCCGAGAGAAGAAGGTTGTCGGGATGAGACGCTGCAGTGGCGCTTCAATCCGTTTGGAGATGGATCTTGTTCTTCCTCAGTGCCGTAGTTCAACAAACTCCTGAACGAACCATAGCCTGCAATCAGACAAGGAAACACAAACTGATAAATACAGTTTGATTTGGTGAGCTACAAAATCAGATGATTGTGCCAAAGTTTCCAACTTTTGTAGCTCCTGGATCTGACCCAGTTGAGAAAGTGTGCTTTCCGGGAAAGGAAAATAGTTTCTCGGAAGGAATCAGGTGAGAGAGTATATACCATTTGCTGAGTGGTGAGAATTTTTCATTTCTAGATTTTGGCAAGCAAGAAAACAACGCTTAGAACATAGAAAACATCCAAAAACTCGCATCAAGTCTTGGATCAGGTGAAGGCAACATATTTCCGGTGAAGCTGAGAAAAGAAGTTACCGTTTTGGACGGAGAGATTCGTGAAAATCCCGGCGGGAGAGCTGCTTTGTCGGACAAGATTGGATTCAACAGGTTTCGTGTGGTGATGATGATTCGTACCCAGAAACTGATACGATCCATGCGGCGGCAGGGCAGAATAGCTCGGCGGCGGCGGAGGAGGAGTGGCTGCATCCTCCGCCGAGACCGGAGACTTATCTAACTCAAACTCAGTCAGGTCCGGACAACCCAGATCAGAGTTTCCGCCATTAGAGCTGACGAGACTGGAGATTAACCTGTCGGAATCAAACCCACCTTTTTCATCATCGATGAAGGCGGCTAGAAGCGGGCTCGGGGCGGATCGAAACCGGAGAAGACCCGACCCGGTTGCGATCTGATTCGGGTCGTAGACGTCGTGCTGATGGGTGCTGGAATCCATGGAGGAAAGGAACGGGGATATTTTTTTTTGTGTGTGGTGGATGGAGAAGAACACTTCGTACAACGTATCTTAATAGTGCAGAGCGTCAACTGTTCCGATGGATTTGGATTCCTTTGGGACAGGATTTTAAGCTTTTTTCTCTTTTCTCTCGTGGGCTGTTGTCACTTTCTCGAGAAAATTATTTCAAGATCTTGAAGACGAAGCAGAAACAATAACAAGAAAGAACATATATATATATATGTATGTATATCAGTATATGTATATACACTTTGGATTCAGTTATATGGGGAAGCACATGTGAATCGAGTAAACATAAATAATGACTGCAAGTTACCGATTAGATCCCTGACTGTATGCACCAACATATATATTCTTTGTATTGTTTAGATGATAAGTTAAATTATTATTATTATTATTTTATAATATGATTATTATGTTATGTAAGTAAGACGATATTCAATTGTCGCGTATATGACAATTACCGTATTTGAATTGTATACGAATCATGCCTTTGATTTGCTTGAACTGAATCATGACTTGTAATAATGCCAAAAGGTTATATAACAGATTTCATTTTAAGTGTGACCCGACATGATAGTTAGAGAGTTGTAATGTTCTGTCTAAACGCACCATAAATAATTAGGGATCTGTCGATACGGATCTTCCGATTCCAACAATATCGGATCAAAAAATTTTCAAACGATATTATTTTTAGAAAATCGAATTTTCTAAAACTAAACTGAACCGAATCGATTTTTAAAAAATTTTAAAAAACGAATATTTTTTAAAAAAATCTATATTTTTCTAATAAAAATTGGAATCAAACCGAATCCGAACCTGAACCAAACCGTATATGATATAATAACAGATTGATATATATTTTTGTAAAACCCAAAGAATCGAACCAAACTATTTTTAAACTTACCAAATCGGATATTGAAATGTCAACCACAGTGGACATAATATTGGATCCTACCATAATATAAAGTCAAATCATTTTAAGCTTAAATTGTTTTGGAGAAACTTCCTAAAAATGGGAAAAGGCGGTACGGTTTTTATGATTTGATTTATGATCATTTCGGACATTAAAAAAGGTTAACGGTCTTAACGGCGAAATAATCTTGACGGCGTTAGCACCTCGGGAGATGAACTTGATTTTGGGAGTTGTTGTGTGGGGGTAGGGCTAAGCTGGATGTGGTGTACGGTATACCCGCACTATAACATGTGAATGGTAAATTTCCATTGGTAGGTGATGATACAATGACGTCATCGTTGACAGAGGCACCGGATTCATGCCGCATCTGGTTCTCTCTGTCTTCGTCTTCACGCTTTTTCTTCTTATTTTTTTGGGATAATTTCATTTAAAACCTATACTTTTCTCTCGTCTCAATTTAAACCATATACTTTTTTTTATCCAAAAAAACATTGTACTTTTAAAAATTGGTAATTAAAACTCTATACTTTTAAAAATTGGCAAATAAAACCCTGAACGAAAAACAATATTATTTAATGCTGACATTACATCCTAGTCATCTGCCACATCATCAATCTCTAATATTTAATAATATTAATTAATAAAAAATAAAAATAAAATAATAAAAATAAAAATGAAAATTTAAAAATTATATATATTCATAAAAATTATACACATATAAAAACATGTTTATAAAAATTTTAAAATTATATACATATATAAATATATTTATATATACATATATACATATATATATATATATGATACATATATATCTATATTTTATATGTATGTGTGATATATACATGTTTTTCTAAAAATCATATATATATATATGTGACATATGCATGATTTTTAGAAAAAAAATACGTATACCACATATGCATATAAAACATACATATATATATATGTATTATATATATGTGTGTATATATATAAATATGTTTATATATGTGTATATATGTATATCATTTCATTATATATGTATGTGTATAATTTTTAAAATTTTATTTTTATTATTATTTTATTTTTATTTTGTATTAATTAATATTATTAAATATTAGGGATTGATTATGTGGCAGATGACTAGGATGCAATGTCAGCATTAAATAATATATTTTTTCATTCAGGGTTTTATTTGCCAATTTTTAAAAGAATAGAGTTTTAATTGCCAATTTTTAAAAGTACAATGTTTTTTTGGATAAAAAAAAATATAGGGTTTAAATTGCGACGAGAGAAAAGTACAGGGTTTTAAATGGAATTATCCCTATTTTTTTTTATTTATGATAGCAACTTTCGAATTAATAAACAAATTTTAATTTTGTCGAAAAATGTATGAGAAAATCATAAATTTTATAATATTTCTAAAAATTATAAATTATTTGATATTTAACGTATAGAATTTCAGATTTTTTTTTTAGATTTTTTGTATTATGATTGTAATTAGCAGTGAAAAAAAATTATATGTATTTTTTGGAAATTTTAAAATTTGTATGTCATTCTCGAAAGACACACACATATATATATATATATATATATATTAAGTTTTTGCGAAACATTATATAAATCAAAAGCGCCATCTTTCCCAAAATTGAAAGCCAAATCCAAAAAATGAGCCTTTTATTTTGCAATTTTCGAATTAGCCCTTGGAATATAAAATACTACAATATATCATATATGTATACATCAATTTCAGTGTGGACCATGCGGAGACACGTGAGATCGCATTATACATATAAAAAATGTCAGAGAAATATTTTACTCTCGATGGGTGCGAAGAATCAATCGTGTGGTCCATCTCTGCGTATTTTTTTAATTGTGAAGGACAAAAGGGAGCTTCTATTTTAAGAAAGATTTTCTCTTTTTTCATATTTTTTTTTTCTTGGTGGATTCCTATATTTGGTAGGAACATAATGCGCTGCTGCAGTATATTATATATGTTTTCTCTATGAAGGTATCTCCGGATATCGATTATTTATCAAATTCGATTAATTTTGGATTATTTTTCATAAAAGTTACATATTCATCTGTTTGTATATTTGTTTTTATTCAGTATGACTTTAAATTTTGATTAAAAATTTCGATTAAATCTGTGTTTAAAAAATATATTCACATCGATTCAAAAATTATACATATGATTTGATTTAATTAAATCAAATTCTACTGTCTCATCTAATCTATTTATTTTACTAATAATCACGTTCACTAATCATCATGAAAATTCACCCATAGTACAAAACGAGATGTGAATTAATTAGCATGTATACAAATCGTATGTTTAATATTGCACATGCAACAGAAAAAACAATATATTTTTTTTACACTTCTGAAATCGAATTTCTAACAGTGATATGTCATTAATCTATCATGAAAATTCATATAATGTATGCAATGGTCCTTCAGAACATGTTTTCACTCTAAATTCAAACCCAAACGTAAAGAGGGGCATTCACCTGGACTTTCTCAATCCTCTGGAGATGTAGTCGGATCAAAGGGCCAATAAACTTTTGGATTATAAAAAAAGAAAGGTCTTTCAGAAACCACTAATATAAACCTCAATAACACACACAAACACACAAGAGGTATATCACAAGCAAGCATCTTTCTTCGATGTTTTGTGTTCTTTTGATTTTCCAATTTCACTCAGACATCGATCTAAACTGAAAAGGGTTTGGTCAAAGTTTAGGTTTTGGAACCCTAACCTCGCGGACCAGCAATGCATCATAGTGACCATAGCCATGGTATATGACATGTATCGGATCCTCCTTGCCGTATTCTTGTCCGTACTCCGCTATACATATCAATCCTCCCGCCTTCTCGTCATGCATGTATACAGCTATCGGCGTCCTAATGAAAATATACCAAAAAAATATATCAATTTTTTATTTGACAGATAAATACACTAAATATTGAAATATACACAAAAAAAAAACCCAAATGATTCTAAACAAATCGTTTGAAATTATTTCATACACGGATTTTAATGAATCTTCAACAGTTTTTATTCGAAAACAATTCCATATTCGGATCTTAACGACCTCGTAAATGTATAGAAAATTGCTTTCGATTGCAGGAGTTGACGTATTTTGTTGAAACATTTAAATACTTGGTGAATTTATTCGTTAAACTAAAAGTTGATGCACTTTTTGATACATTTTGTAGAATTTGGGTATTTTTATAGGATTTTCCGTATAAAATATAGGGCTACTCGCCTTAAAGAATGACTGTATATAACCTAATATCCATGCTATGATCTTATTATGACAGCAGTGATCAGCTACTTTGGTCCTATCTTTTGTGTTAATTTACATGTGATCTTGTCTTTTAACTTGCATGGTCATTAACTGGAAAGAGAGGAGGAGAGGGATTACCGGAGAACATGGGAAGCCATGAAGAGTTCAGGTTCACCTCCCCAGACATGCGGCTTCCGAATTTGTGCAACGTATGAGTCAAAGTCACCTTCCACAAACCTGGCAGATGCAAAAAGCTTTCCAGATTAGGGTTTTCAGTTCTTCCCTTTAGTTCCAGAGAGAACGAGAGATGGAGATTGAAGTCGGAAAGGGACATACCAAAGAGAAACAAGACAACCTTAAGCTTAGAAACACATAACACTCACCATTCTGTTTCCTCTCTTCTTTTGATAAATTCATCAGCCACCTGAAACATTCAGGTAATCATATCAACGAGGAAACAGATTCGGAAATAAACATCGATATAGGCTCGCGACTTGGATGATACATTATACCCGAGACTGGTTGTATGCAGCTTTGGAGGAAAAAGTATTAGAGGTTTTCAGAAAATACTAACCCTAGCACGCAGCTCATCAGCAAGTTCTCTCTGTGCATTCTCATTCGGAGGCGGTCTCCCGGAGCGTAAGCACAATCCATGAGCTACTGAACGGAACAAACATCTGCCATCTCCAGGTATTCCTACACATTTACAACCATTCACAATGGCTGATCAAATCTATACATAAAAGCAAGACAAATGCTCGGAATTGGACAGACAGATTCATGATTAACTGGTTACCTATGATGGAATAATCAGTGTAGACTCGTTTCCCGTTGTGTTCATTGTTTTTACCTTCTTTGTCCTTTGGTGCTTCTGCATATACCGGTTGGGAACTTGAATAACAAACCAGTAAGCTAACGATCAAACCTGTATAGGCAAACCTCGATGACCAAGAGAGATTTCTCATCTTGCACTTTATCTCGGGAACCATCCCTTGTTTAGGCACCAAAAACCTCACTCCACCACCTGGGGATAAGAAAGAAACTTCAAGATGCCCTTCACCAGACTCGCCGGTATTCAATGACTGTTTAACCGACACTGACTCAAGATTTCGTTTCCGCCCGGAAAGGTTAGAAGGAAAACGGCCACCACCCAGTAGGTGGAAATTGACACCTGAAGGGCTAGAAGCTCCGTCAGTGACAGAGACACCGAGACCGGTATACTTGGTTTTGAAATGTCCTGAGGGTAAGCTGTAATAACAAAAGCTGGATGGACCCCGAGCAAGAACGCCGAAAAGACGGGTGCCCGTATGCCTCTTGATATGGATGGCGCTCCTAGAGCATGTTGTGATGGGAGAGCAAATCATTCTTTATGTCATACGCCAATCCAGTGACCTGATGATATTCATTCAGGAGCTCATTCAGCTACGCCATTAACAAGCCTCAAGAGAGTCTCCATTAAAATCCATTGCTTAAAATACGAACAAGCTAGTTTACTGAATCAATCTCATCAAATAGCAGAACCGCGATAGAGAAGCTTAAGGTTGTCAGAATCATCAAGAGAAAGCAGAATCCACAACTAACAACGCGACAAACATATTGAGGGAAAACACCGAATTTCGATAAAATCGCAGGGGAAAGTAAAATCCATAAAAGTGTTCCAGTAACCATGTAAACCTTTTAGAATATCAAAGACGGTGCCAAGAAATTCCCAATCCAAATAACAAACAAAACACGAATGGCAACAAAAATTCTGCCCGGGAGTGGCAATAAAAAATCCTAACCTCATGAAACGAAGAAAACCCAGAAAGCAAAACACGAATGCGAATCAGAAGCATCGAGAAAGAAAAAAAAAAAAGGAGAGAGGAACACGTGAAAAGGGCCACAAGCAAACCCAAAAAAAAAAAGAGAACAGAAAAGTCTCGAAGCAAAGAATACCTGAAGGGAAGGCGAATTACGCACTCGATTCTTCCGATTTGTTCTTCCCTCTCTGTCCGTAAACCGAAATGCAGAGAACGAACTACAATTTCCTTCTTTTTGTACTGTCGAAGCAGCAATCGAGACGACGACGTCGACGGAGAAGCATTCGCCGGTTTGCACCTTTGTTACTTTCTAGCGGCATCGTCCTTAGCAAACGACGTCGTTCCACTACGATGAAATGTTAATGGGCCTTAAATTGGGCCTGGGCCCCAATTTGAGCTCCCCTAGGACCCAAAAGTAAGAGCCCAAATTTCTTCGGTGTTCATCAACACTGTTCATAATTCTAGTCAGAGTAGAAGTCTTATCCCGAATCAAAGTTGAAGATATAATTCTGATATTCGTTATATATATATATATATAATGTCTAACGAATCGCTAATTGCGGGGAATCGTATTTGGTTTGGTTCAAGGGAAAAAGGAAAGAGAAGAGTTCAGAGAGTTTTTCTATTTTCCGTTTGGTTGCCGAGAAAATAAAGCATGGGTTTGGATTTGATTTTCTGGGTGTGCGTGATTTCGATTTGCATCACTCTTTCTCCAGAAGAAAAAAAAGGGTCCTTTAGGTTACGATTCTTCCATGATTCGGAAAGGCTTTACCCTAGAAATCTGCTCAGAGACCTTTCTTGTACCGCAAGTAAATACAATGGGCCCTAAACCTATCGTCTCAATCTGAAGGAATAGTGTTAAGCTCAAAACCCTAGTGATTCCTGACGTAAAATTCTTACCGTTAATGATCAACATGTGGCGATATAACGTGTTAGATCCTATCAGAACCTAATCGATCAGCGGAAAAAATAGAAATATTCCTTTGGATTCATAATTATGATAGTTGCCAATGCAAAAAATCAATCAAGAGACTAGTTTCAGGGCTTAGAACCTCATCTGCAGGAGTATATGTATGTGTGTGTGTATGTATATTGTGAAAAAGGGTTTCAGACATATGTATTTTCTGTCTGCAGCTTGTTTGCTTTGTGGACTTGGAAGCTGACCACATGGATCCACTGGACGCGTCATTGAGAATCAATCCATTAGTAGTCCCGGAGTTTCTGACACACGGATTGCTCGTCCTCCTCTTCGTCGCAAAAGGGTTTTGGCTGATGTTTCTAATGATGCTGCCCTTTGGCTTCTACAATGTGAAACTGTAAGTATTCTCTCAGATATTATCCGCTCAACGCTGTTTCGTGTGTGTGTGTGTGTGTGTATATATATATATGAACCCGTAAGGGAAACTTCTCATTGCTTGCTTGTTTCACCAATTAAGGTATATGGAAAGGCGGCATCGTATTGACCCAACTGAAGTTTTCAGAGAGTTGAGTTTCCGTAAGATGTACCAGAAACATAAGATGTTCCTCTACTTGTCTCTTTTGATCATTATCGCTTCCAAGATTGTACTGAGCTCGAACCATGTCATATAAACATATGGCTGTCTTGGTGAAATCTATGGTTCAATAATCTAGAAACCTATCAAGATTCTTGATTCGAGTTCCCGGCGCCCCAAGCCATGGATCTACTCCATTTCTCCGGTTCCTCTTGTCCGCCGGTGACCGTCGACGGTATCGGCGGAGATTTTGCTCCATCGCTTCACCCTTTCGGGTCATTGACTTTTCCGTCTAACACGGTCAGCAGGATGACTTATGGATTTCTTTCTGTTTGAGAATGGGCATAACAAGTTTCTCGTATCTCTTCTCCCATTGCGTCACTCTCTCTTGAGTTCCCCGACCTCGTCTTCTGATAAACATTGAGAACCGCCATTAACGATGGGATGATTTGGTTAAGCTGTGAGACAGAAATTACTTTCTTCTCAAGATATGTCTGGCTATGAATTCGGAACCCAACAGAAGAGCTTGTCCTGTCAGAACTCAGAACTCAGAAGCCTTCCGCAACCGAAACGGCAGGCATTGCAGGCAGCCTGTACGAACAGCTTGCCGTTTCTCGTACAAGAACAAACACAAAACTTCGACAAATTAATTGGGCACTACCCGACGTCTCATTTTCAAAGCCCATTCCAGGCCCACTTATGGATCCAAATAAACTTCCACTGGGCCGGTGGGACCCCCCAAGGTACAGGGACACGTGTCGTTTTCGAGAGCTAACCATGTGGGTCCTACTTTTGACATGTCCCCAAATTTGGTCCTTGTCTTTTGGGCCCATATATAATCTTCGGTCAGAAAATTCGTCCCATGGATGAATTTTCTACTTCTATAATCTTTTTTTTTTTAAATATGGATGGTGGTTATGAAATCTCTTTGCTTTAGCATCTTATATTCGTATTTTAAGAGATTTATGTTAGAAAGTTTGATATTTTGTGATGGTTATATAGATTGAATTGTCTGCTATATTATGAACACCCCAGAATTTCAGAGCCTACGTATTAATCCGGCTAATATTTTTGCAATTTAATTATAATAAATCATATTTGAAATGAAATGTTTCTAAATTGTATAAAAAGTCATGATATGATTTAAAACTTCCAAAAAATAATAATTTTTATCATACAAAATTCTAAAACCAATAAATGATAAACATATAAATATTAAAATTTTGTAATAATATTGCATCCAATTAACTTTTTTGGTAATTCTATATGTCCAGAGAGAGTTTTGTTTTCTTTGGATTTTTAAAGCCTTTTAATTATTATGCAAGCATGTGAATTTAAAATATAAAATAAATACAATTGTATTAACGATTGCAATAGACCGCTTTAAATTGGATCGTTTTCGGGACATTATAAAAAATATTTTTATTTTACTATTTTACTTCGACAGATATTCTTTTTCAGCTGTTACTATAATTTATATATTCCGAAATATAATACGGTCAAATATTGATTTCATTGTTTATAATAAAATTAAAATAGAATCATATTATATTTTAGATTATATCAGAGAGAGAGAGAGAGTACATGTTTAAGTAAAAATAACAAATATTTTTTATATAATGTTTTCATGAGCCCGGATGTCAGGTGGACCCCACAATTTCAGAATTTCTGACACCTGTCACTGTAGAACATAATGCCGAACAAATATTATCATCTATCTATGTATCCATGACGGTAGAGGATGAACTCTCCCAGTCAATGAAAAAGGCTTTATGGGCCAGAATCACGTGATTCGCACGCGGATCCAGGCCCACCTAAAATATTTTTACATATTTTCATTTATTTATCATTTCCATTATCTTTTTATTTATTTTTTAAAATCCTCAGGAAAAAATTACTATCACGCAGATTCTAAAATCTTTTGTGGTCTCACCAATATCCATCATTTTTAATTCATTCGAATCGGAACGCGATACGTTGATGTACATGTTTATTTATAAAGCTTATGTTACTCGCCATTTTGAGTTTTGGTTAAATTTTTCTTTTTTAAAAATATGTATATTTATAAGATTTTTTATTCAGTTAGAGGCTTTTTTAAAATCTTCCAAAAGATCCAACAAATACAACTAAATAGCCTTTTTAGTTTCATTTTAAAATATTGTTTCTGCATTTTTAATTAGCTTTTTTAGTTCACATTTAATGTAATACAAGTTAATCGATTTGTTTTTAGAATATATTTATTCGATTTATTTTTACTAATAAAAAATCCTTCCTTGATCCGTCAACACATTCTCTCTTATATTTTGGAAATAAACAAGCTTTCGATAAACAAAGTTTTTCCAACCACTCTAATTTTTAAAATTTAGGGGTGGACAATCCTAATTGGAAATTTGATTCCAAACCGCCCAATAAAACCGTTTTCGAAATGAAAAGATAAAATATCGAATCGAACCGATAAATGCTAAACGAAAATTCGAAGTTTTTCCATTATTACATATGAATTTATATCTAAATATCAAGTTTTGATTCTTATTCAATACCTATATCGATCCGATTAATATTCGATTCTAATTTGATATAATTAATATAGAATGTTTTTAAACCGAACCTACAACATGATGCTCGTACATTTTTTATCAGATCAAATAATGTGTACGTATATACTTTCATACTTGTACGTATGCGTGTTTATTTCATTAAAATCATGGCCACATGTTTTAGATATCAATTCCGTTTTTTTTATTTAATATTTTGAGTATTAGAAAAATCACATGCTTATACCGAATTTGGTTGTACTCTTTTTCTTATTTAATAAAAAGATCATTTTTCGAATTTTACTGTGATTTAATTTTTCGATAATTATCGCATTCCATACGGGTTCAATTTTTTCGATTTAAAAACTATACATATTAATTTTTTTTTAATTGAATTCGATTCCGATCATGCATTATTGAATTCAGTTCAGTTTTATATAATCGAACGGAAACCATTACGTCTCGCTGCCACGTCAACATCGAGACCAAAGAATGGAGTTAGGTCAGGGAGGCATAGTATCTTGCCGAATTTAAATTTACCAAAGACTGATTTGTACCCTACTCCATGATATATATATATATATATATACATATATATGACACCAATATGAAAAGGAACCATACGAAACCCTAGAAATGTGGTGTAAATAATAATAATAATAATATTGATTTGATGATGATGCTTCAAATTAGTATAATCTATATCGCATAGACAAATATCGGCTGTTTTATTTCAATAAGTTGGTTCAGTGGCGAATAATTGATGTCTAATATTGTAAGCACACAATTCGTGGAAATGATTTTTTTTTTTTGGGAAATGCAAAATTTCATACGAATATATCTTTAACTATACCAATTAAATATAGATTTTTTTTACAATTCTAAAAAATATATGAATTTTGTATACTAACTAAATGTATAAATATTATAAAATGCTAAATAATACCATACGGGCTCGAGGGATTTACAAAATCGGCTAAAGAAAATGACGTGAGATAGCCCTTCGGGGTCAGGTCAGGTGGTAAGGGAGCAGGGTGCATCATCCTGAGGTGGAGGGTTCGAATCCTCTCATCGTTCTTCCTTGCCTTTGACTTGCTCGCCTGTCAGACCATCATAATGGGCTGATTTACCTCCTCCGCGTGTGTTGCAGGCTCGTGCGCGTGGGCGTGAGGTTTGACATGCTGGCGCCTAAGCCCAACTACGGCCCGAGCGTTAGGTGCGCCTGGTAGCCAGGTCCGGTGGACTGAGATCCATGGAGATTGTTAGGCGCGGGTGGTGGCCAGTTCGTCTCCGTTTGTAAGGGTAGACAGTTACAGGTTCCATATAGTTAAAAAAAAAAAATGACGTGAGATATGGAAGAATTGAGCATGTCACCAGTGGAAATTGAGATTGGGCCGATATAGGGTTTGATGATCAATTCGGCCCAATAGACCCAAAGGGAACATTCTTCTTCTAAACAAAAAAAAGAATTATAAACCTTGTTGTGTTTCCAAAGAAAATTTTTTATTTTCCGTATAAATTAATTCTATCAATTTTGAAAATAATATAAAGATTGAGATTAGGTTATCTATATGACAATCAGAATGTTTAATTAAATAATCTACAAAATTTAATAAAAATAATAGTTTTGTAGAGCGGACGCTAGATTTGTTTATTATTATTATTTTTAGGTCCATCACCCATCAACTATAATAGATGTTAACAGTGTAGTCAAGCATTTATTTTGTTCTTCTAAAAAATATATATTTTTCACTATAAATAATATTTTTACATTTTTTATTTATTTATAAATTTCTGGTTGGTATTCTTTAGATGTTTACTCTTGTCTTTCAATTATTCCTTTCTTGTTGTGTTTTTTTAGTTATTATATAAATCGCATTTTTAATAAATGATATGTTATTATTTTCTAAGATTTTTTTTGGTTATATTAGTTTGTAAGTTTTTATATAGTTGAATTTGTTTTTGGTCCGGAGGAGGAATAAATCAATGTACGATGAGATTAAATGCGGCGTTATTAGGTACGACCAATAATTAAATATTAATAATTTACAATAATTGCCAATTTATTTTAATAATAGTAACCGGGCAAAGCCCAAAAGGCCCAACTCATATCCTCTGGGATCCAGCAAAAGCTGTACCGTACACAAGCATTTATTTCCATTTTTTTTCTTTTCTCTCTCTAACCCTACAGAGAGTTGCTCTCTCTCTCTCTAAGAATGGCTTTATTAACAGACGCAACTCCACAGCTAACGTTGCTTTCGTCCTACTCCAAATGGCTATGAAGTAATCTTCCCCTTAGAGATGAGAGAGTAGACCCGGAACGAAGAAGAAGACCCTCTTCAGGAAATTCTCTGAGGGAGAGATTTTCCTTGTGCTTTGACCGCCATTGATGCCATTTCTTCGCTTACATTTCTCTTACCTGTCCTCCCCGCGATTGGCTCGCTAACTGTCAAAGGGGAATCAACTTCTGCCTTTTGGTCAAGCACCTCTCTCTTTCTCTGTCCCGGAGGTCGTCGGGGTTTCTTGAGGGAGAGAGATCAGATTGGAATATCGAGGCTGTAATTGGTGTTATCGAGCCGCTTGATCAAGTGGGTAGCTGCTGTTCTTCGTGAATTCAAGTGGGTTGGTCCGGTTTCGTTGACAATGGATCTAACAGGAGGATTTGGAGCTAGATCCACTGTCCGCGGGTCGTGTCGGGAGGTAACCGGCCTGGACTGTCTCCAGTTCAGTGATGAATTCCGGCAACTGCCGACGATGCCTCACGAGAATGGCCGCTCGTTCACTGCTTTGCTCGAGCTTCCGGCGACCCAAGCCATGGATCTACTCCATTTCTCCGGTTCCTCTTGTCCGCCGGTGACCGTCGACGGTATCGGCGGAGATTTTGCTCCATCGCTTCACCCTTTCGGGTCATTGACTTTTCCGTCTAACACGGTCCTTATGGACCACACGGCTCGTTTCTCGATGGCTGCGACGGAGCAGAACGGCGATGTATCGGCGGAGACCACGAGCTCGGTGCCGTCGAATTCTAGCGGGAATCTGGACAGGGTCAAGGACGAGCCTGCGGAGAACGACTCATCTCAGCGGTTGGTTTCTCATCCAACTGTGGAAAGCGAGAGCCCGAGCCAGATTCAGCCCCAGACCCAGACCCAGAACCAGAACAGTCAGACTGGGAAGAGGAAAGAACGCGAGAAGAAGGTGACACAAATGATCCATGATCAACATTTCGCTCCATCATATTGCTTAATTTAACCAGTGATCAGTTGCTAATTTCGTGTATCTCAATTTTTAGGTTAAAAGCTCAAGCTCAGCGAAGAAGACCAAGAGTTCTGAAGAAGACGAGAAGCTTCCCTATGTCCATGTTAGAGCTCGTCGTGGTCAAGCTACAGACAGCCACAGCCTAGCAGAGCGAGTAATTTAAATCTGGCATTAATCTCTTAGTTACACGACTACTTCTTCCTTAATCAGTGGCGCTTAATCATCAACAATTTTTGGATTATAGGCGAGAAGGGAGAAAATAAACGCACGGATGAAGCTGCTACAAGACCTGGTCCCAGGATGTGATAAGGTTTGTGTTTGATTACGATGTTTAATGAAACTATTAATCAATCATTTCATCTCTGATTTGTGCTTAACGACAGAATATTTCTTTAAATGACTCCTAAAGCATTTATACTATTTGATAATGGTGTTTGATAAAGGTCCTAATCCTTCCCAACCCTTCTCCTTAAAAGGCGAGTTGCTTGCTTGCTTTTGTTTGCAAAAAGTTGCCGTCTTGTTTGCAAAAAGTTGCTAGTTTAGTGATCATTCACTGCCCAAAAATCTAATCTTTCATCTGGGGAGGAATATCTTACAGGTCACACTAGCATAAGGATGATTGGTTTTGTCTCAGAGTTTTTTAATTGAGCTTGTACGGGTAATGCCCTCCAAGAGGGATGGTGATGGGAGCGGGTTTATGTGGAAATGCTAGCTGGAATGTGCCCTTAAGGTCTTAGGTTAGGGGACAAATTTGGGTGGATAGATGAAATTTTCTGGGGTCCATCTGTGTTGATAAATGCAAAAGTGTGAGAATTTTGCATGGAGGGTGTGCGAAAAATTTTGGTGGGTGGATGGAAGATCAAACCTTTTTTGGGGTCCATCTCTGTTGATAAGTGCAAAAAGCTTGAGACTTTCCATGGAGGGTGTGGAAGACATTATCGTCTCTAACAAGTTTGGTATCTATCAGTAAAAGAGATGATGCTGATAAAGCAAGGATCCTTTACGAATATTTGATATGCTGAGTCCCACATACCTAACTGGTTGGAGACAATGATGTTGACACCCTTCGGACAACCTATTAATCGATTTTTTAAATCTTGGAACTTATCAGCAGTTATTTTTGGAAGGGGAGACAGACAATATGAAGAAGAGAATTATCAGGGTTTCACCCGAAGAGGTTGTGAATTTACGAGTTTAGGATCATTAGATTGGTTGTTCATGAATGAAACTACTGCAACTTTGATCTTAGATTTAGATGAAGAACGAGGGATGAACCCACCGTTTTCATACGATAACGCCTTGTTTTTCCTGCAAATTTTTAGTTTAAAGGGCAGATCTTTCGCCCTTTTTCTTTTTCTTTTTTTTTCGAGCTGAGTAAGATTAGGTGGTCTTGTTATGTTTTCTCTCCTGAAATATCAATTGATCTAAATGGCTGCTAAGGAACGATTTTCTTGTTTCGATATATTTATATTATGTTAACTTACCAGAAAGGTTTTTTTGCCGACAGATTCAGGGGACTGCTTTGGTGCTGGATGAAATCATCAACCATGTCCAGTCTCTACAACGTCAAGTCGAGGTGAGACATTTCCCGTAGTTTATATTTCGTCCTTCTTTCTTTAGCAATGGACCCGAAAACATTTCCAAAGGATTGAAGTTCTGGAAGCCCTTTTACTTAACTCGTGTTAATATTCTGGATGAGACTCGATAATGTATGATGTATTAACGGGAATTCCGCCACCGGTTTTCAGCTGTTATCAATGAGACTTGCAGCCGTAAACCCCAGAATCGACTTCAACCTTGACAGCATATTGGCTTCAGAAGTAAGATTTCTTCTTTCTTTTCTTTTAAGTCTCATATAGATTGCAAGAGCCTTTCTAAAGTAACCAAAGGGGGATTATACATTTTTTGTGCTAGCTGTTGTTCAGTGGCATAAATAGAAACTTTTTGGGATATTTATTGGAGACCATATTTAGATTGGGGTACCAAAAATTTCATTAACAGCTTGTTAGGTATTATTAGGGTTTTGGGGCTCCTCATAAATCTCACCAAAAGGACTGTTAGAGACAGACCATCATCCATTTATGTCACACGCAGAAAAGTGGGTCAGAGACTCAGACAATGGACCAGGTTGTTCGGTTTCCGTCTGTGTTTTCAGCTACTTGTCTCGGACAATGTCTTTATCTCTGCACAATTGTTCGGTTTTACCTCTCTACTTCATAACTTATTTACACCCAAGTTTGGGTGGCGTAGTGGTAAGAGAACATGGAAAGCATTATCTTATCCCGAGTTCAAATCCAAGCATGGAGAGGGGTATCCACCTGGACTTCTCCGACCCATTGGGAGATGTAGTTGGGCCAAAGGTCCGGTGAATTTCCGGATTATAAAAAAAAAACTTATTTACTTTTCCCGAAAAACTTGCCCCCACCCCTCGGTTTAATAGCCTCTTGCATATGTGATTCATATGTTCTGATGCATTCGGTGTTTGATTCATTTTTACGGATGAAGAGTCGGGATAGGCGTGATACCACAATCGGATAAAAGTACCGTTTTTTAGGATCATTTTAGTTAAGTACCCTTTATTTCTTTATTTTCAAGTAGTAACACCTTATTCTTTTGCAGAACGGTTGTCTAATGGACGTGAACTTCTCGGGGGCAACTATGCCTGTGGCTTGGCCCCACGTAGCGGAAAACGGCCAGCCGTACCATCGGCACCAGCCGCCTCAGCAATGGCCCTTTGACGCCTTTCACCAGCAGCAACAAGGCTTCACGCCGGCTGATAATTTCATGGTGGGTTCATCTTCTTCCTCGTCGCCTTTGCACCCCAACCATGTCAAAATGGAGCTCTAAAACTCACCACTCCAGCAAGTAGACATTACATTACTCTCTCACTGTGTGTGTGTGTATATATATATATATACATCTATCGTATAAAAATATGCCCCTATATCTATATATATAAGCAATTACATATCTTTAGGACCAAACCGTACGATTTATTTAAATATTTTGGAGTCTCTCTATGACCTCCTCTATTATTCTTACCATAGAATTGAGAATAGTCATTGATGTAGCTTTCCAATTTGTAATACTTTTGGGCTCTTATACTAAGATTGTTATAACCTTGTTATATATGCTGTCTTGGTGAAGAACTGAGTTCTGGTTTTGTTATGTTTAATTAAGATCAGGAATTAATTAATTAAATTTTAGAATTATGAAACGCCTAATGATTCGGTTTTCAATTTGGTTCGGTCACATAAATTTTGATTCTGTTTATACAAATTTTGTAACATCTTTATGCAGTTTCAGTTTTCATACGATTTACACTGGTCGGTTACCGCATAATTGGAATCGAGTATGAACCGAACTTCCCGGTTTTGTGAAACCGGACTAATTTGCATGTCCCAACTACAAATACAAAACCATGAAGCGGTTAGAGAGGAGCCAAACGACACCGTTTTAATCCAGATCCCAACAGGATACGAAAACGGCGTAGTTTTATGACTCAGCGAGCAAAGCATAGATCGTGACTGTCGTGTCGCTATATAGCCACACACACTCACGATTTCACTATTTCCTCTCCGTCTCTCGCCCCCCGCCCCCTAGCGGAAATTGCAACCACAACCATGCCCTCGACGACGCAGCCATTGACAGTTGCAGCGAAGACGCTCCGACACAGGCTCTTATACCGATCCGGATCCACATCCTCCGGTCCGAGCCGGTGGACGACGCCGGGTCACGAGGAGCGTCCCAAGGGTTACCTCCTCAACCGACCTCCTCCGCCGCCGGGACAGTCCCGCAAGTGGGAGGATTGGGAGCTTCCGTGTTACATCACCAGCTTCCTCACGATCGTCATCCTCGGTGTCGGTCTCAATGCGAAACCCGATCTAAGCATCGAGACCTGGGCTCACCAGAAAGCCCTCGAGAGGCTGGAGATGGAGAAGCTCGCGTCCGCTGGAGAATCATCCGATTGAGATGCTAACGTTGTTGGCCTGGGGATGGTGGATTTGCTCAGACGGTTGATCTGGTATGTCTGTTTTTGTCGGGATTCGAGGGTTTTCCCCCCGTTTATGATGATGATCACGACGACCTGAGAACAAGGGTTTCCTTCAAATCTTTTTGTCGATAATGCTGTTTACGGAATAAGGTTGTCCTTAACTGTTGACGATGGTTATGTGTGACTTCAGATTTAATTTTGACAAAGCATCAATCACTTCCCTAATTCTTTACCCAGTAGTTGGTTCTAATGATTCCGGTGAACCGGTTTAGGAACATTGGTGATTTAGGTGGTCTTTCGGATTATATGAATCGTAGCATTCCATGGTTATGAATCTGTCCCATTCCATCGCTCGGAGGAGTGACTGAAAGTAATTGGGTTTCTGACATTTTATGATCTTGTGATTAGCTTTTGGTTTGGTTCTGTTTATATGTTTTTTGATTTGCTAATCATTCGCCAGTCGTTCCATGTTCTTCACAAGCTTAGCATCATTGATTGTGAAAGTCTTTCGATTCTAGTGTCAGCTTGTCATTAGGTTAGGATTTTGTCCGATTCATATAGGTGGAAGGCTCTCAAGATTCAAGAATTTAGCGTTCAAGCATGTCTAGCATGCACATCTTTGTTTGGAATGCTCGACTGGACTCGAGCAGTTGAAGTCTGAATTTTCCTGACATGGACCGATGTAAGATTTAAAAGGAGTAGAAACTAGTAAGCTGTTTCATTTCCAACATAGGAAAGGATTCTTTCGTCGGTTTCAAATGTGGGGTCTTTAAGTTTAGACGGGGAAAACAAGCGTAAAGTTCGTAGATTGATAACAGAATCAAGGAAATGGAAAATGGGTAGCAAAAAGCAGAGTGAAAGAATTGGCTTAGGGATTCAACTTGACCAGATGTGTGTCTCTGTGAGCTGTTTGCTTGTGTTTGAGTTTGTGGGAAAAGGGCTTGTTCCTATATGTGGGATCTATCATGTTAGATCATCAACCTGCAGGTTTTTGGTTGATTGATGGATCCTCATCCTCGTGTAGAGAGATTCTGCTGTTCTGCAGAGCCTTGCTCTTCTGTTTCTGTGTTTTTTTTTTTTAATTTACATTCCATAATTGTGAATCCTACCCATATTCTGTTGAAATCATCACCTTATTCTAGTTTTCTGGCCAGATGAAGCATGAAACTTGTTAAAGACTTGCCCACATCTGGACATCTGCATCTGATGATTTGTCTGTCTCTGTCTGTGTATCCACTTAAAGCTGAAGTCTTTCCTAGCAAACCAAACATATACATATATATGCGTATGTATGTATCTGCGTGCTCTTTTTATTGATCAGCATTGGCTCCCGAATTTACAATAAAACGGAATAACATCGCTCATGGAAGCTCAGTGCAAGTAGTAGCAGAAGAGGGACATGAGGGAGGCTCTGACAAGAGATCCGATCACCGGTACGGCAGCTCCACTGGTGGTGGATCCCGGCGCCGGAGCGGTGGCCTCATCAGCAAGCGGGCATGACGACAGCGCTTATGGAAGCTGCAACGAAGATGATTCCGCAGGCGATCTTCTTCGACTCCATATTTGCTGAGACCTGAAAACTAGGGTTTTCTCAAACTTCCTCTTCTTTCGGTTTTCCTGCTTCTTTCAGATCCGGGGATAGATCAATGGCGGGCGATGGTGGAGATTTATAGGGAGTGAATCTATGGTTATTTTTAGACAAAAAAAAAACATCAGTTTCACAAAAAAGATGAAAACGTGATGGAATTACATATCATTTACAAATCATAACCCAACCAGGAAGTGTCATTTACAGAGAGAGAGAGAGAGAGAGAGAGAGAGAGAGATGCAATCAAGAAGCAGAGCCATTGATGAGCCGTTGGACGTCGAGTTGGTGTTCAGCGACCATGATACAAGAATCGGCTTCGAGAGGAGAAACGGAAGAAGCCGAGCGAGTTGTCTTGATCAGAGCTTGGGTGGACAAGGAAGAGAGAATGTCGGTGGTGCATTGGACGTCCGGTGCTATCCCAACTCTGTCTATCTCCTGCAGTGACGGCGACAGATACTTCGCCACCGTCACGAACAGCGCCGACCCGTCCTGTAGCTCCGTCACGCTCTGCATATCCGGCCGTCACAAAATACAACCATTTTACCCATTTCACAATAAAAACCTTACTCTAACCATTTATATTGACCTCAGCCACTTTGAAACTTTGTTAGAGTAAAAGGGTTTTATGTCAACTAAAACTATCTTTTCAGATTTTTTTTTTTGCTTAAAAGAGAACTTATTAAACTCTAATTTCTTTTTTTTTTCAAATAGGAAACAATTATTTATATCCTTTTTTTGTGGTGAAAGTAATTATTTCAATCTTATTATTCACTTGAAATTTTATTAGACTCTCTTAATGGGTTCTGTAGCGCCAAAGTTGACGTTACCTGGATTTTTCCTTTGCCAAAAGTCCGGTGACCCACAAGAATAGCTCGGCCGTTGTCATGTAAAGCTCCGGCCAAAATCTCGCTCGCGCTCGCGCTACCTTCGTTCACCTGTCGCATTTCGAAAGATCCGTTCAATTCGTTTCCGAATGATCCGAGAATCGTAACATGTAAATGGCGAGAGCATATGAACGTCCGCCCGTTCACACTTACCAGCACAACGAGTGGATCCCGTGTCACGGCATGTCCATCGATCATGTTTATCGGTTCTGCGATCCCGTCGCGGTCAATCGTGTACACGAGGGTCTCATCGCCATCCAACCATATTTGCGCAACGTCGAGCCCGGCTTTTACCAAACCGCCCTGAATGAATTTTAGAATTCAAGGGGTTTTGGCTTATTGGGTTAATAAATGAATAACCGAATCGAACCGAATAATATATAATCGCAACAGAACCGAATTTGATAAAAAACCAAATGGCTATGATTTTTTTAAAAGCGAAAAAATCGAATCCTAACCCGAATCGAACCGAATAAAAAAATAAATGAAAAAATCGTGAATTTCTTTAAGAAAAGTAGTTTTGTCCTAACCGAACCGAGTAGAACCGAATTTAATATGAAAACCGAACAGTTGTACTTTTTCTAAAATTTAAACTGAAATAACCAAAACCGCACCGAATTCCGAATAAACCAACCCTCACAGAGTAAACAAAGATATCTCCCCGAGGGAGCGAGAGCGAGGGAGGAACGGAAATTGAAGTTACCGGATTGTTCCTCAGGTCCAGAATGTACGAATGCACGTCCTCGTTCTCCATCTCGTGGATTGCATTTACCATATCAGAAGCCGCCGTCTTTCAACACGGACAAAAGAAAACAACGATTACTTCGCATTTTCTTTCGCGTTTTCGGGGATTACTGTCCTCTATATTGCACTTACCTGAGAAAAGGCCGAGAGCTTCACATAACCGGTCTTTGTAAGATTTCCATCCGGGGTCCTGTGAGGAATTATAGCGCTCGATATCGGAGAGAGCTTGATGAATTCACGGGGTATCTCGACCTTTAAATACGAGAAACACACGCTCAGGAATTCACCAAATAACAATTGTCACGAGAAAGAAAGATACGAGAATTTCATCGATATATATACCTCTCTGATATGGAAATCGCTTCCCGGATCATTTGCCTGCAAAAACATTATGATATCATTGTTATACTAAATACACGAATAAGTAGAAGGTTACACCGAAACTGAAGACGATGAAGATATTACACTTTTAAGTTTTACTGTGACAGAGGTTCCGGCTCGCCCTCGTAGCTTCTGTGCCGCTGCTTCACTATCAACGCCTTCCAGTTTTTCGCCTGAAAACCCATAAAACGGAAAGATTCATCGATCAAGAAACGATCCAAGAAGCGTAAGATTCAATCATCAGCGTGTTTTTAGAGATTGGAGAGTACCGTTGATCTCGACTAATTCCTCGCCCTCGTGAATACCGGCACGATCAGCCGGGCTACCTTCGATGCAAGACATTACAACCTAAACAAGGATTATGATCTTAAACAAGATTTCGGAGGAAAATACAAATCGAGAGAGATAAATTTCTTCGTGTTCATGTTCATAAATACTAACCAGGTGACCTGTTTTCGGTTCCGAGTTTATGAAAAGGCCGACACCTTGCAGGTTTCCTTCGCTACCGATTCGGAAACTCTGGTACTCCTGGCAAGCAAAGATAATCCGCAAAACAGAATGAAGAACACTAAGTTTTAGCATTTTCAGACAAAACAAACAACAACAACTGCAGATTCATGTCTTAACAAGAACAGATTCGTGGAAGTTGAAAATTCCATCGAAGACCTTCGGGCTGATAATCCGAGTGAAGGGATCGCCGAGCGTTGAAAGCATCCCTTTGATCTTGCCGTACGCAGCATCAGCTGATCTCAGTGGGAACATTTCCACCATTGTTTGCTGCAGCCTCGAATCCCAATCTGAAAACCAACGAAAAAAAAAGTTCAGACCTTTATAGATTTGGAACCATAGATTCATCCAACAGTAAGGCGTCGCTACCTTGATGGTTAAATGTCGGATCGACGAATGTCTCTCTGATCAATCCCCATGCTTCCACGAGAGTTCTCTGAACAGTATTCACCTAACAGAGATAGATTCCCTAGTTAATAACCAAACTGTTATCAGTAACACAGAATCTAACCAACAGATCGAACACAGCGGATAGAGAACCCGATTCACCTCGCGAGCGCGGGAGACGGGGAAAGCGACAGTCAGAGACTCGGCGACGGCCGGAGAATCACAACAGATCGAAGAAACCGCAACGGCGGCTGCGGCGAAACTGAGCAATCTGCTTCCGATGGTCCTGATGATCAGATCAAGATCCCTGTCGGGCTCTGGTTCGTGACGATGACGAGAAGATGATGAAGCACGGCAAGACAGCGAAACGCACCGTTGCTTGTACCCAGAGCGATCCGGGTTCGAGAATCGATGAAACGACAGAGGAAGAGAAGTGGGTTTTCGACAGTTCGTGAAATTCAACAGAGTGAGATCGGGATTCGGCGATAAAGTTTCCATTTTGAGATGGGTTGAAGACGAAACTTGAATTGGGCTGAACATATTAGCAAAAGGAACGAGGAAATGGTCGAGAGATTAATGGACGTGTTCAGGTTTTACGCTGTGTTTTTAGACAGTTGATCTTTCGTGTAGATTCTTCTTGGGGCCCACGTGAATCTTTGTGGTTCAGAGATCTGCTGCGTTGCGTATCTCAGTATCTAAGCTTTTTTTTCCCGACAAAAATCCACTGAGCTTGAATATCTGTGTGACACGTGTCCTTAAGTCCACGTGGAGAACATAACGGAACGAGCCATATGTTATCGAATTAAAAACATGGGCCGAAATACCTGGGCTGGGTAAATATTTGAACCAGATTATGTTATCTCGGAGGATCCAATGTCGAGTTTCAGTTTTGGTTATATTTCTATTATTCATTTTATCATTTCGTTTTTTTTTCATTTTTTAAAAACTACATTTATTCAATTTTTAGTCGAATTTTGATTCAATTCAATTTTTTAGTTTGGATTTTTTGTTTTCCACAACGGTAGTATTTTATTATGGTGTTGGATCCCCAATTTTTATGGATTTTTTTTTCTTTGTTACCGCGGTTGATCCCAAACATGGATTTGGTTTTTCTTTATTTTTATATTCAGGTGTGATTCAAATAATTAAAAAAAAAAACCCTTTAAATACAATCCGTCCAAACGTTGAAGTTGCATTATTTTGCGTTACAACATAATTTTCTGTTACAGTCTTGATATGTTGATGACCATTATTATGGACAAATTATTTCAGATGACAGACAGATATATATATATATATATATACAGAGACTTACAATTTAGGTGTAAATTCAAGAATCACGTTGTTCGTTAGGAAACAAAAAAAAAATGTGACCATCAACCCATATCACTTGTGAATTTCGATTTGTGACAATTTACTTTTAGGTGAACAAATATATATATATATATATATATATATATAAATAATATGCAACCATATAAATATTTATATATATGGAGACTCAAGCTTTACACAAATAATATCGAGTTCTTTCCTTGGACATTTGAATTTTAAACTACGTACATTATATATATATATATATATATATGTGTGTGTGTGTGTGTGTGTGTGTATTGACGAACAATTTATTTTCTATTTATTGGTGCCTAATTAATCATCTCCCATCCATTCACCATCACACCCACATCAATGCATGTGGATGCAGTTAAGTGCTTCCCCGCACCACTGCCCATGTGCGTGCGTGCATGCATGCATGGGGGAACGATCGAACATGGAACTGAAATTGAGGATTGACTTTGATCAACGCCATTTGACATATACGGGAGAATGTTATATAGGCGGTATCTATATATATATATATATATATATAAACTCTTCATCGATTCTTGCTTGCCTCCCTCTTTAGGGCAACTTAATTAAGCATGTGATTCTTCATCACCCCATCCCTCGTGTATATACATGTATATATATTCATATAGTGTGTGTGTGTGAATTGTAAAATAGAGGGCATGTGTGTATAGAAACATCTGGCGGATCTATTGAGGCATTCCAATAGCGTGAAAACGGAATAGGATATAAGAGTTAGTTTTTTTTTATTTAATAAAATAAAGAAAAGCATAAATTAATAAAATTTCCTCTGAATTTTGATTGGTTATCACAAAAGTTTAGTTCAAAGTAAAAGAAAAGAAGGAGATAAAAGACACCTTTCACTAAAAGCAGATTAAAAACAAAATAGAGAATAAAAAATAAAAATAATATATATACACACACACACACACGAGACCAAAGAGGTTCCATAAAAAATCAGTTCACTAGTATAAACATTGTTCTCCTTATTAGTGTGTAAGTGGATATGGTTATTTATATCATCTAAAATTTATCTTGCAAAGTATTTTATCTGATTCATCTAATTTAATTGATGATTATAATTAGAATAAATAATTTTAGGTTTTAGCGTGCACAATTCAACCAATCTACATTCCATAATATTTAATTATATAGAATAGAATAGCAAACATGCATTTATTTCGCATAATTTTTAATCAAATTAAAATATGAAAATAAATGAAAAATTAGAACAAAACATTTAAAAAAATAGAAATTCTAAAATAAGTGAAACGAAATCAATGGAAATGAGAAATAAATAATAACCAAATTAAAACTCCTTTGTAACAATAGATTTTGAGTGACGGTTGTAAAATTAAAATTTCAAAATAGGAAATTTTTGGCCGTGATTTAGATACAAAACATCAGAGGCATTGGGAATTTATCATGTGTTTTGTGCATATACATACATATATATATATATAATGTTTGCACCCTATTTTAATAAAAATATATGATTAATAAATTTCTATATGTATATATATATATACACTTTTACCATCCAATTAATAAATAAAAATATCAGATACGTTTGCATCCTATGTTCTCCAGGAAGCTCTAATCAATCAGTTTGACTGTGGGGTCTCTCTTCCATTGAACAAATTTTGGCCCTCCTTTTTTATTCTTCTCTTCTAATGACGTATTTAATTTAATTTAAAATTGAATTGATTATGGTTTTTTCTAAAATTAAACTAATAGAATCTAAAATTATTGCGAAGGAATTTTTAAAAATAAAACCCAAAATGAAATGAAAAAATATTCGAATGAAGATGAGTTTTAGAAGATAATTATTCTAATGAAAATAAAATCAAAATATAACCTAAACACATAATATATATATATATATATATATATAATATTTTATAACAAAGATATACTACATATGAAAATGCTTAAAAAAAATATCTACCCTATTTTGAAAACTGTGCGTGTTTCTTGACGTTACAATAATCCAAATTACAATTCTAACTGATACAATCTGTACCGTAACTTGAGTTATGGACGAAATTAGGATATGGGTTTCTTAGGAGTTAATTAACCCTTAAATATAATTCCTCCTCAAAACGGCAAGACCTCGGTTAATTAGTTGATGACATGTCTAATCACATGTCTCTTTATAAAAGAGCCGTGTAAAAAATTATAAAATCTGATTTGATTTTATTCGAAGCTCATCGTCAAGGAAATTTGGTGAAATGTCAAAAAAAAAAAAGGAAGTTTATGTGAAATATAAAAATATATATTTGTGTGTGTGGGTGTAATACGTAATTACATATATATATATATAGCTTAAATCTGAAGATTTTAGAGTACTGCATACAACTTGGAGAATCTCCATGCATATGATATGACGATCAAAGCAACGTATAGATTTAATAGGAAAATGGATCAAAATAAATGAAAATGGATCAAAATACAAGAACACGCTCGGATCTCAATAATCAGAGAGACCCTCTCCGTATATCCGGTTCTATTTTTTTTTTCTCTTTTCTTTTGTGAGTTTATCATTTTGTATTTTTTTTATAAAAAAAAATATTTGATTTATAACGTTTTTTTTTTAAATGAAATGTTTGTTTTGTCTTTTGAGGTGCCCGTGAATCAATCATGAGACGAGCTGAATTTGGCCTCTTTCGCCCTTTTTCTTTTGAATGTCGGGTCCTCCTTCCGACGAAAAAGTTGCCTCAAATCATATAGAGCTTTAATAATCTTCTACATATTATTAAGCTATCACCTTTATATCCATTTAATTTGGTTACCTATTTATACACGGGAGGAGAATATGTAAATTTTATATAATGTTAAATTTATATATTATTTTATTTTTAATTAATTTATATTAGATAATTAAGATTTCTTACTATAATCCCCAAGCTTTTCAATTTTGCTATAATTAAGAATGGTTGAACAAAATGTTGGGCCACAAGGAGACGATTAACTTCTATAAGGGACACGTGGAGATGCACATACCAGACTGACTCACTGCTTTCGATTTGGTTTCGCCACTTTGAGATTATCTAACTGTATTAGCACAGCTTTTACTCTTGTGTAGCTGCTTTCGTATCTTTGTCTTTTGAGAGAGAAATTAAATCTACTCTCCACGTAGAACACGGTTTTATTAATAGAATTTACGATTAACCAAAAAAAAATGTTGGGCAAAAAAAAAATCTAAACTTCCAACATTTTCCCCAAAAAAATACCTCTAGAAACGTCATCGAATAAATCATTATTGCTGACGTGGCTTGCATAAGTATCTATATGAATCACGAAAGACTGACCATTGCCATGAAAATTTGTCACATGGAAAAATTAACAAAAAATTGTTCCGGATTTTTTTATAATCTCGAAATTCACTATACTTTTGTCCCAATTATATCTCGCAGAGTAATGGAGAAGTACGGGTGAATGTCGCTTCCTACGGTTATATTTGAATTTTGGATTTTATCGAACCGTAAATCAAAATTCAAACCGGTTTTTGCAATTTCGGGTTTTAATACCAGAAAACAACAGTTCATTAAAAAATGAAATTGTAATTTATTTTTTAAAAATTCACCTGGTAATTTTTTTCAACTGTCGACCCTGTAAAACTACCTCAGTAATGAAGATTTATTTTGACAAGTTTTCAATAGTACATGTACTTTTTTCGGGTTAAAGTCGTAGTTTAGTTTTTTTTTAAAAAAAATTAGTTCATACAATCTATAAAACTTGGTTTTAGGGTTATTTTTTGGCCCATAACATTTTATTGCAAAATTGAAAAGTTTGGATTTTTTTCCGGATTTTCCTTAATTTGTAATAACAATTTTGGTATACGTAGAGGGGAAATGCAAGAATGTATGGATAGGTTAAAGATAGATAATTAGTGCATGCAAACAAACTATAAACATCGTACGTAGAGAAAGTTGTCTCCCTTTAGACCAGCCTTTGGGACATGAAATAGAAGTACTAAATAAACAAACACATTTCCCATGGTTCATATATCTTCGAAGATGTTTGCTTATATATATTCTCGTCGCCATAATTACATTTTGGGAAAATGTAATTTGATAACTAATATTTAATGAGTTTATATATAACATTAATTAATGCGTTCAAACACCGGTTCTAACAAAGCATAGGGATTTTAAAACAGGAAACAAATGTTTTTATTCAACTTAATTTCTAGATACAAGCGAGAAAATAAAATTTTATTCAACACCCATGAACTTAAGATTTTATAATATCGATGTAAGAGCATAGTTACCGAGTAAAGTGAAGTTCAATGTTCGGATTCTATCCGACAGATCTGTAGTAAAGCCCTAATACTTGTAGTTTAGCTCGAATTCCTGCATGTCTTTAGACAAGAACGCAACCAACAGACATGTTATATAGATTTGTTAACTGTTTTTTTTATAATCTTGATATCGTGGATCGAGGTCCAAACTAATATTGGAGTCAAGAACAAGGTATGTTCAATTTCTCTCTCCAACTTGGGACTCGAATCCGAGGCGGGACATATTTTTTTTCCCTTATTTCATCGGTTGAATTATCCAACTTATATAGATTTGTTGGTCTTGTAGTTCGAGAATAGTAAAAAAAAATTGTTTTCCCAAATTTGTTATTTGTATATGTATCGTCATCATCAATACAATGTCAAATTTGACTATTTGGACGTAACCCTAACCTAGTATAGATTAATTGACTACAAATAATCGATATATATATATATATAGAGGGATATATAGTGATGGAGAGAGTACTGTAAAAGTGGGGTTTGAAGGATGGAAAGGAGGAAGGGGATGGTCTTCATCCAAGAAATTGATTGGCAATAAATGTTTGTCGGAGAGATTTTAAGAATATGAATAAATGTGAAGTTCTTCATTCACATTTCATATATACACAGTATATACAAACACCGCACAGCCTACCAAAAAAAAACATATATAGTAAATACCCCACATGGTATGATATGCCCTCTCCACTGAAGATCGATCAATGCTATGCATATCATCAACTTTTTTCTCCAATTGTAATGGGTCTGCTTTATTACATCTCCATGGCTTTCACTTGCACGTATTAATGCATTCAAACAACGGTTTGAATTGTGCTATATCACGCCAGTTCATACCTTTTTTTAGTGCATGGAAACCATATCATATTATCTTATATTCTTAATTATTTACCAATTACGCATTAGATTTCTGTAATCACCCGCCTAACCTAGGACTTCTTTGGTTTCACAATCTCTTGTCCCTTGTAACACGGGTGTTCTATTTTTCTTCTTTTCTTATGTACATATATCACTTTTCTTTTAATACAAATTACCCTTTTTAAAGAAAAAAAAGCAGTATACAACATATATGTATTGGGGTTTGGATTCAAGAAAGAAGTGGGAATTGGAAGTCTGTAACCTTTTCCTATATATGCGAGTCATTACGGGCACGGGGTACATATGGGCACGGGGGCTTGGATCGGAGGAGTTAATAAGCGTTGTTTGTTGGGGAGAGAGAGTGAGAGTGAGAGAGAGAGAGGGAGAGAGAGAGAGAGAGAGAGAGAGAGAGAGAGAGAGAACAGAGTGGAGCCCTAAAGGGAGTGATGGGTGTGCAGATTTGGGAGAAAGGACTGATGAAATGAACAGTACTCTAACATTAACGCATCTCCCCCTCAATCTGTTTCATTTACTGTTCATGGATTAGACCTCTCCTTTTGCCCCTTTGACCATCCCTCTCTCTCTCTCTCTCTCTCTCTCTCTCTCTCTCTCTCTTGTTCGTGGCTTGCATACACATATGTATATGTATATACACCCACATCTATGTCTGTATTGAAGTTGCATTTCTGGTTAGAGATATGTTGTACCAAAAGTTTTTTTGCACGAGAAATTATAGAAACTACAAAGTTGAATCATGGACCTTCTTGAGTGGCATGCGTACATTACAGAGGGAGACTTACTGTTTATGTATACCCACTGGCTATTACCCTTATATAACATACACTACACACACTAATATATATTTATATATTCATAATATAAATGTCTAGGAGCTAATCATTTGCTTTGGGATTTTACCAGTCAGTAAAGAGTGAATCATATAATAAATTAATAAGGTGTATATATATATATATTACGTCGGTCCATTAAGCACGTATGTCTCTCCACTGACCAAAGGGAAAAGAGAGCATCTTGAAAAAGCTCTTTGCATTATGAAAAGCCTATCCCAACTGTAATATTTGTTACACAATCAAATCCAATCAAGATTCATTTAAATAATGCACTAATAAAAAATTAGAGTTCAAGATATATATTGTGCATATAGATTCTTTTGGATGACGCAAATTATTTTCTAATGGATTACATAAATAATTGAATCGTCAATTGTAAACTTGAAAATTTTTAGTGGGTTATGGTTTTGATACACATGATTTTGTGTCACGTACTCATCATCATGGAACTAGAAAAATATTTAAGGGGCCATAGCTAGAATGCATATATACATATATACATATATATACACACATAAAATTCATAAATTTTGCTGTGTAATTATTTATTATGAGAGCAGATCATGATGTTATTGGTTATCCATGAGAAAGTTATGCACTCGAGTAGTACGTAATATTTTCTAAGCGCCCATTCTTATTACGCGTCATGATATCACGGGACAAAGTGCCATTATATCCTCTATTTATTTTATTTATTTTTGTATTTTTGTAAGTGAAATAATTTCATTTATAACCCGACCAAAAATATATCTTTTGGGAATTAAAAAATAACAAGAATCCAACAATACAGATATGAAATTATTCTCTTCCCCAGGCTACCAATATACCCACATCTTAAATGTATGTGTGTGTATAGTATGCATCATCATGGCATATATATATATATGTATACTTGTAATACATACATAAACATACTTGCAAAATAATTACAAACATATAAAAAAATGATGATCACGCCGATATATTAATCTTTTCCTGAGCATAATGCATATATATACACACACACAATGAATAGACTAGAACTCTGTAGGGTTTTATCCTAAATTATATATATATTATTTCTTTATGATATCTTATTAAATAAATTCATATATATATAAAACATCCCAAGTGTATATATATAGGCAGCATGAACATCCAAGTTCGTTAGTCAGGATTCTACATGTTGTCTCGTACATCAACTTAACAAAGGCATTACAGGTACACTTTTAAATACGAGGAAGTTAAAAAAAAACCAAAGCTAGACCCTTCAATTATTTTTTAAACCGATTATGATATATATATATATATATATATATATATATTACTTGGAAAAAGGTTTACCTCCAACAAAAAACTTGGTCCATTTAATTAAAAACGAGTTTTGTTTTCATATGTACTAATTAACTAAAGCTACTTGGACTGCATAGACTGATCATGATCATTATTATCTAATTGCTCTACCTCAGAAGCTGGCTCGTCCTCGTCGTCAAACCCATCAGCGCCGCCATAAGCTCCATGGCCATTTCCGAAGGCCTTGACGTGATCTTTGAGAGATCTCTTGTGCTTGAAATCCGACCCGCAGATGCAATACCAGAGCTTACCGCAATTCTTCTCGTGCGTCCGCCAATCTCCTCTAACCGCGAAAGCCTTGCCGCATTTCCGACACATGAAGGGTTTGATGCCGTGTTTCCTCTTGTAATGTGTCTGAAGGGTTCTGAAATCCTTGAGGGGCTTCGCTCTCGGATGGTCGATGTTGTTCCGACAGCCCGGCGCGCAGCAATAGCACGGCAGCCTCAGCATTCCCGTCGGCTGCGTTCCTCTCAATGATTCTGGCCCTTTTCTGTACTGTGATCCATGTCCCCACATATGCATCTGAAACATGTACGTACATATATGTCATGATGAATATCATATATATATACGCCAAAGAGAACAATCACCGACAAAAATATTGGTTTGAACAGAGATCTCAAGCCCGTGGAAGTCCAATCGGAGAAAACGCGTTCCAAATGGGCAAATCAAAATACATGTCTTGTAATTGACAAAAGATAAATACAAGGTCGATTGCCTGAAAATAACTCAAAATATTCAAGTCATGTAAAAGAACAAGTACAATATTGTACATGCATGTCTACGTAAACAGATCAGTCGCAAAATGCAAGGCACCAAGAGAACACATTATTTAAGTTTTTTTATATTTCTTTTTAAAAACAAAATGCATAGTTCATGAAGGTCCAAAGGCCGAGACTAATCCCGAACCACGTGCACGATCCTGCAACACATACATATATACATACATACATACATACATGAGACATACATACATACATACAGACATGTGTATGTTTCTTTTTTGTTCGTTCCCTCTGCTGCTTGCTTTATATATGATTACTGTTTTTGTTTCACAAGTTAGCATTTAAAGCTCTCGTATATTGTCTGCAAAATCTGCAAGAAAGATCAGTTGTACACGACCGCCGATGTGAAGAGAGATAGAGAGAGAGAGCAAAACACAGACTCGTGCTCTGAAAATACTAAACAGACGACATAAAGAACATTGGATGTGTTGTTCAATCGCCCTTAATTAAGAAAAAGTCTAACTGGTTGTGTACACAACATATCATGTCTCAGTCCACATGGTTCTTCGTAACGCAATGATTTTATCCATTTATCTGAAAGAGCTAAACCATACGTCATCCTTTCAAGTGATTGAACTACATGTCTCTATGTTATTTTTGCACGCATCTATATGAACCTGTGTGTGTATGTACCAAAGGGAAAAAAAAAAAGAGCCAAAACCAATTTTGTGAGAATATTCCGGCCGGTAAATAAATCTTTTTGTTTTCTCGAGAAAAAATAAATAAGGAAACACCCAAATTAACCGATTCTTTCATCTCCTTACCTTTCAGATTCAAAACAAAATGAAGATACAAATCCAACTTTCTAAGGGTTTTTTTTTGTAGCTGTTCTAGGGTGAAAAGTCCGCCATGTGCTTGAAGATCTTGAACACCCAATGCAAAGAAAAGGAGAAAAAAAGTTGTGCGAATATGGGTTTTATAGCACATGGGGAAACACACACGCACACAAATGTGCATATATGAGCTATATATATACACACATAGTTGAGAATTTGGTATTTTTCCTAGAGATTCGGAGATTAAATCTTGTTATTAAAAAAAAAAAGAGGTTGAATCGTGGCGAGAGTACCTGCATGTTGTTATATCTGTTGAAGGTCTTGAAGCAAACAGGACAAGAGAACTGGGTAGGGCCAATTAGAATCTGAGAAGGTGTTGGGATCCAATACTGGCCTTTGTTCAGTCTACTTAATCTGCATCCGCCGCCGCCGGACTCTTCCTCGTCGTCTTCTCCGCCTCCGCCGAGACAACGATGGTCAAGATCCTTCTTGTCGTACTTGATGCTGTCCGAAGACGAAGGCATCATCAACACAGAGGCCATCTCTTCGGCGCTAGGGCTGGGAAGCCCTATCTGAAGAGCCACAGTGACATCGCCTTCGTCAAGATTAGAAGTCATGTGATGATGATGATGATCATCATCATGAGGGTCTTGATGATGATGATTATAGTTATGGTGGGAAGATGATTTGTCGTGGTCGATATCCATCGAAGTGGAAGGCTCTTGGTCATGTTGGGGGTATTGTTGTTTGTTGGCGGGGCTGAGGCTGAGGAGGGGAAGAGCTTCCCGGAGAGGAGGCGACGGAGGTGGGGACGGTAGACGGCGGTGGCTGAGTCCTCCACCCCCGCTGCCGTGAGGGAAGAAGAAGGGAGGAGGAGGAGAAGGGTAAGTGGGGTTGGAATTAGGGTAATGAAGAAAAGGGCTGGATTTGAACCAACCTGTGAAGAAATTGGAGTATGGATCACTCATGGTGGGGAGAGAGAGAGAGGAATAGTTTGGTCTTTGTGGGTTTGCCTTTATACCAGAGAGAGAGAGAGAGAGAGAGAGAGAGAGAGAGAGAGAGAGTGTGTATGTTTTTTTTATGAGGGAGTAAAAACAGGTCAAATACCAACAATTAAGTCAATGTATGTGAGTAAAGATTATTGATTTATAAATACCAGCATGTCCGTAAGTGCACCCAGTATGAGCAATAATTAATTGGAGCATATAATTTCATATATATATATATATATATATAAAAGGAGAGAAAAAAAAGAATATGGTTATGATTACCGTATTATTGTGAGTATAGTTAGGCTTATATGAAAATTGAGAGTCACGAACTAATTCAAAAGCGTACATAAATTTATATACGTATATTTATTGTATTATGCCCGACAAGGTTATATATATATACACACAATATAGTTCTACTCGTGAATCGAGATTTATTTTGCAATTACCACGTAATTTTCTTACATATTTTTTTTGTGTCATTTTGCAAAAAGGGATCTATGCTAGCTGGTCAAACTATTTTTTCATAATTGTTATTTTTTTCTTATATAATAAATATATATCTTGTTTTCCTTTTATAAAAACGCGCGTACTACACCGATAATAAGTTATGAGCTTGACTCAATAATAAAGTACAGACAGCGCTATCAAATGGGGATGAATACGAGCGGAATTGAATAAAATTTCGGGGAAGTTAAATTCTCCCTTTTTATGAATAATTAATAAATAGGCGCTGGGAAATTTAATTTGGTCTCACCGGCTTGAAAAAAATGCATATAATTACTGAATTACATTATGCAGTTTGTCATATGATTAAAGAGATTTATGCATATTCGGACTCATTTACATATACGTATGTATATATGTTCTTAAATTCGATTTCCATCCTTTGGAAAGTGGGGAAACAATTTGTATCCAATTTATACTTATAATTGAATTTTGATATATATATATATATATGTGTGTGTGTGTGTGTATGTATTGAAAACAGGCATGAGGTGCAGATGTCACTGCTTTTCGGAGATTGGCTCTCATCCCAATCACGGTTTCAAAGCTTTTCTTATCGATTTGAGTATAAAATGGAAAAAAAAAATATTTATCTAAACAAACATTAATATTTATTAGAATATAAAGAAAGGAGTATAACCAAAACCCTAATGAATGTAGACATAATTTAAACTATTAATTTATTGAACCGTCGGGATAAAACGGATTTATCTATAGTAGATTCATAGGGTCGTTATAAAAATACACTTTAAATGACGAAAACACTAAAAAAAATTAATTATTATTATTACTATTATTATCTGTTTTGGGTATTTTAATTTTAACTTCGAGGATTGAAAAAAAAAAGAAGAAGAAGAAGAAGAAGGGAGCAATCGCATTGGTGTGCGCATCAATGGTCGGCTTTCCTGCAAATGGTAGTCCGTGGAATGTCCAAATCCCGACCGCAGATCCTGCCTCTCTTTTCATTTATTATTATTATTTATTATTTTCTCTGTTTCTACAAAACACAAAAAAAAAATCAAATTATATATTTTTATTCAATAAACAATCCACTTGTTAATTTGTATTGCATTTGATTATTAAAACAAAGTAGGTAACGATGATTAGTGTTTAATTATGTAAGTGTTTGATTTAGGGCTCTATTCTCGATCGACGACCGACGCAATTATATATATATAGAGAGTATAATAAATTATGGTTTTCGTGTTTGCGATATTATTCACAAATCAAATACGTTAATTTTCAAAGGAACTTTTTATAGTCTGTAACGGATTTATTTGTCGATTTTTTTTTTTTGAAGTGAAAATATTCGTCTTGCGTCAACACGGTTTACATTAATTAGCTGACGTGTATATTTATTATGTTTAATATATGAAAAACTCTAACCAATTAGGGCATCTATCGGTCCAATCTTAACCGGTGCGATGAAATACTTTTGGCGTTATTATTAATTACCCACATTAATTACTGTTACCAATATTGCGGATTCTGTAGTTATCATTCCATTCATTTTGTCCATTGCATCATGATACTATTCATGCACAGAATAGCCCACATGATCCACAAGAACATTTCATGTCCATTGTTGCGAAATTTATTATTGTTTTTTTTTATAAAGGAAATTTATATTATTGTTGCTGGTGATATATACACATTTATATATATATATATATGCTTTATATGAGAACTTACTATACCTTATGAATGTGTGTATATATATGTATATGTGCATTAAATATCCACCTCATTTTTAGTTCGACCGGTGTCGTGTGTAACGTTGCCTACATCATGCAGCTTCATGCATGGGTGGTACCGATGTTCTTATACATATATAAATTTAAAATGGCATAAATATTAAACCCTCGATCGAATAAAAAAATTTGTAAACTCATACGCGAAATCTAATGTTTTAGAAAAAAAAAATAGAAACATTTTCCTGGCATTATATATCTACTTGGTTTGCAGATAATCCTCGCATAAAAATCAAAATTAAATCTGATAAATTGGATAAATATTGGGAATATAACACCTAGACTATCACGGGCATGGTGCATGTTACAAATTTAGGAATGGTTCTAGTCATAGGATAAGAAAAAGAAAAGAAAATCATATATATATATATATATGAAATAATAATCTTGGAAAATGTATATATATAATATATATATATATATTCACACCCAAATCTCGGCATAATTACGTGAAGAAACATTCTTTGGAATCAATATATTGGACCTTAGACCAACCTATATATAGAGAGTCAAATTCAAACACAAAAAGACTTTGAAATAATTGTGCCATATCCAAAGTTTTCATACAACAACCTGCCTTGGACCCTCACAAGTACCCTTTGCGTCTCTCATACATATATATATACACACACACATACAAATACACACAACATATATATATATATATATATATATATATATATATATGTGTAGGAGAGAGACTCTCATCATGGTTCTAGGGCCCCTCTTTGTGCTTAGGTTTTAGGGTTTGGACTGTTTTATTTCCGGATGTGACGTTTGTTATATATGATAAATTCACACATAAATATATTTATATGATTCGATCTGGCATTATATTTTAAATCATTTATTTGTGTGACTTTATATTAGCTCTCGTCTGGATCTGTCCTATTGAGAACATGAAAGGAAACCAAAACATATTATATATATATACACCCACACACATGCATATATACACATAGGTAGGGACATATATGTGGAAGAGAAATAATGCAGCTACTATAATTTTGGCTCTGGATAATACAAAGGGAGGTGTACGACAAACTCTAGGCTTCACCTAATATATATATATATATATATATATATCACCAACTTTTACTTATTATCAGTAACAAAAAATAAACACATACGCACATACACACATGTGCCCACAAAGAATCTCATCATTTGTAATGATACAAAAGATTGGAGCGTCTTATATGTTATGATCTACATTACATTGATCTACGTGTATATATATATATATATATATATAATGTGTACGTAGATATCTCAAAATCAAAGCTAAAGATGTGAGTGACTAAACCCGCTTTATCTTTTCCCTTTAAAGCAAAAAAGGGTGAATATTTATAATAAAAAGGAGAGGAAAATGAGTGCTCGATATATTCAAATAAAGTTGAGATAAATACATAGACCGCAATTTTTTTTTTTTATTGGTGGGTACGAAGACAGACATACGAGAAATTACTTTGGCTATGTTTGATTTGTACTTAACCTAGTACTCCAACAATTTTAAGTTAAACTATGTATTTTGTTTTGAATTTTTACTTATTTTTGCTCTTTCCCCATATTTGAACATATATATATATGTAATGTATATATAACTCGATTCCAAAAACACCCTTTTTGTCCGTAACATATTATTAAGCTTATATACTATATGCACTATACCATCACTTCGAAACAGGGATAGTTCTAGGAAATTTGATCATCGGGACGATATTTGCTATTTATTGGAATCAATTAATTTTGTTTTTTTTAATCGGAACACAGAAACCTGTAAGTCCAATATTTTTACTATTTTGATTAATAATTATTCTAAATCTATAAAATTCAAGATTTTAATATTGCCATGACGAGTTAGGGTTCACTAGGACTCCAGAATGAATTTTAATAATTTTGTTAGTATTTTTTTTAATGGACCGATGTATAAAATATGTATCTTGGGTTTAGGGAACAAACAGCAGATATAAGTGAAACATGCAAGCATTTTTGCAGCAATGCAGGACATCGGAGTAAGAGAACACATCTCGGATATATATATATATATATATGTATATATATATATATATAATTATGATATTCATGATCTCGGTTTTATGTAAGATGGAGTAAATAGTAAAATAATCAGTGATTGTTATATTATAGATAAACGAGGGAGAAGGGGTAATAAATGTCACGGGTCTAGAGTGAAGCTAGGAACCACGTGAGGCAGCCAAGGCAAAAGGAAAAGTCTCGGACGTGCGTTGGACACGGGAGAGCTCGAGAGACTTGGCTAAGCCTTCGGACTTAGGGAAATCCGAGAAACTTGAGGTGTTTGAGAAGAGGAGAAGATCCAGGAGGCAAAGGAAAGCCGACGGAACGGCTGGGGACTTTATTAATAATGGGGAAAAAGAGTTACAAAGGCTGCGTGCGACTTGGAACAAGGGAGGCTCACGGTGGCGGTTTGCAAGCCGGCAACGTGGAGGCCAAAGACAAGTCGGCGCAGGCTAGGGTTTCAGAAACGAAGAGGAGAAGATTGGGGATTTTCGAGATGCCTTTCCCTCTTGGCCAGCCCTGGATTTTATTAAGGATGGGCTGTAAAACCAAAAAGGAAAGTTCACAATTTCGGTCCCCCATCTTTCCATTTCGTCCGTACTTCCCTAAAACGAAAAAGGAACCAATCTAACTTGCCTAAACTCATCTAAGTACATTCTAGAACACTTAAATGGGCTTTGGCCCGAGCCCAAAC